AAGCTCTCTGTGTGTGTGTGTGTGTGTGTGTGTGTGTGTGTGTGTCTGTGTGTCTGTGTGTCTGTGTGTGTGTGCCGTCCGTGGGAGCTTAATTGGTGTGAGCGTGGGCAGAAAGAAAGAGACAGACAGCACGTGTGTGTCTGTGCAAACTTCTTAGACTATCAGCATGAAAATCATCTGTACAGTGTTGCAGAGTGTGTGCGCTGTGTCGACCCCCTCCTTTTTGGCTCCTCTCTGTTTTCCTCTCTCCTCCCACACTCCTCGACACCTATTATGTTTTTTGTCTCATCTCTCTCTTTCTTCACCTTAGTCGTGTTTCTTTTATTCCACCTTTTCTTCATCGTCTCCTCTTTGCAGCGTATCTTTGTGCTCCCTGCTGCTACTTCTCCTCCCTCTTCTTTGTCCCCCGTGCTCTCTTCTCCTCCTTCGTCTCACCTCTCCACCCACACACAGAGGTGTGCTGAAACGATCGGGCTGTTCAGGTAAAAAAAAAAAAAAAAAAAAAAAGAGCAGCAGCAGGTGTAAATGGTTTCTGCCTTGACCACTTTAACGGCTGACTGATCTCTGAGCTTCGTCAGGAGCCCCAAGTTTCTTTACAAAGTTTCCAGACATCTTTACTTTTTTCTATTGCTGTCTTTTGTGTTGATATTAGTAAACTAAAATGAATGAGTAGCTATTATCTAGAACTGACAGTTTTCTGTCGATCTCCCATTCAAAGGTTTTTGCACAATACTTGTGTTTGCAACCTGAATAAAAAATAAATGATAAAAAAGTTTTGTTTTTTTCAACATGAAATTGCCACAAATTAATCTGAGGGTGGCTGATAGCTAACTGTATCCTCATTGGTGTGAAAGCATGGCCATTAAACCTCCATATAAAGACTTAAAGTGTACTCATGCTGAGTGACAGAGCATTGATAGTTTACATCAAATAGTTGTTTCTCATGGAGATAAATTCAGACCTTTGCTGTTTGTTTATTGAAAATAAATGCTGAATCCATAATATTGCAATTTAATATTCAACCCTAATTTTAAACAAATTAAACTTCTACATTTAAAAGATTATTACATCAAATATGATTGTTTTAACAAGTTAGACTTAGTAACATCCCAGATAGTTCAACTTGAAATGGCATATACATTACGTTCCTATTTTCCTGTTTGTCTTGTATTCTTTTTCTGATGTTATCCGTCCTGTTCGTTTAAGAGTGAATCAACATTCAGATGCAGAGCTGAGGAAGAAAGATGTAAGAAAAGTATAATGAAAGATCTCCCCGGATTTGACATCATCTGATACACTGTCAGCCTCAGCAGACTTTACACAGTTAAAATGCAAGTGAAAGTTGGAGATATGAAATGTAATTTCCATATTTAATCATCCTACTTTTATTCCCTAACTGTGTGTGTGTGTGTGTGTGTGTGTGTGTGTGTGTGTGTGTGTGTGTGTGTGTGTGTGTGTGTGTGTGTGTGTGTGTGTGTGTGTGTGTGTGTGTGTGTGTGTGTGTGTGTGTGTGTGTGTGTGTGTGTGTGTGTGTTTATGGATTAAATTGCAGACAGAAATGTCTAGCTTCAGGCAATTAATTTTTTTTTTACATTTTATTTCTACAACCTGTCAGCTACTTGTTGCCATGGTAGCGTTATGTCAGAGGATTTACTCTGTGTTTGCATTTGCGTCTGTGTGTGTGTGTGTGTCTCATGACGCTGACGGATGCAGCGGGGCCTCATGTGGTCATCGACACACTGACAACCCTCCCGTCATTTCCCCCGGCAAACATACACACATGTACAGTACTCACACTTTTATACAGAATATAGGTCATGGTGGAAATGTGCTAGCTCTTTCCCCCCCAAGCCCGCTTCCAGACGATTGAATATATGCCCACATCTGTAACTCACAGGCAGCACGAGAGAGAGGAACCTCTGGGCAAGATGCACCTCAGCATATTTTTCAAAGCCGAAACTTTTGCTTGAAACTAGACTCTCTCATCTTGCTCTCCAAACAACACAAATTAATGATAGGTATATACAACTTCAAATGTGTGCAACGTTCAGTGATGCAATCTATGATGGACAGCTGACAGGTTTGATCTCTTTGGTTGACTTTAGTACACTGTGAGGCTGCAGTGTACACAGCAATATCACTGTGTAGTGTTCTCTCTCTTTTGGTCTGATGCTTGTGTTGAGACTGATACAAGTTCTGATGTCATTTTAGATGAGGTGTGGTGTCATGTTATGGTTGCTATAGAACCTGTCTGTCTGTTGACTGGATTTCTGGGAGAGAAATATTGTCAACAATTGCTAGAGTATTATATATGTGCAGGGCAAGCTGTGATTGTTTGGTTGCTGTTTTTTTGTGTAAGTACCATCTCATGTTTGACTTTGAGGGTCGGAAACAGCAGACTGAAGATTTAATTTTTGTCTAGAATCCGCAGCATCTCAAGAGGAAAGTAAACGACTTTATAGAAAGCGACTGGAAGTTGCAGAAACAGTGCGCTGACCAGTTTCACCTCAATGTTCAGTCTATTCCCATTTCTTTGACAGCGGTTACCACAGCAGGCAGCAATATACCACAGATGAAATCGATTGAGTTTAACTTGGTTGAAACAAGGTCTCTCTCTCTCTCTCTCTCTCTCTCTCTCTCTCTCTCTCTCTCTCTCTCTCACACACACACACAACCCCACAAGCATGACACACACACAAGAGGAATGTAACGGCAATACCTGTTAAGTCATGTGTGACCAGTTACAGTTAAACCATCTGCTCTGACCTCGTTAGACCCATTGTCTTTACTGTATACTAACACACACACACACACACACACACACACACACACACACACACACACAGACAACTGGATAAGAAGCACAACAATGATGTATTTCCCTTGTTCAGTAACTCTTTGCTCGGTGCAGACGAAGTAGATCAGAAGGATTTATTTACATCTGTACAGAGTGTGACATCGAGTCAGATGGATTGATGCCTAGTATAACAAAAAAACTCACCTGTATGATTTTCAGCTTCTTTGTGACAAAAGCGTTTTGATAACCAATGAGCAGCTGAGCTTCTGTTTTAAAGTTCTTAAGAATCAAGCCAGATACTTCCTGTTAGTACTGACTGTAATATTGCACATAGTTTGTGTGCTACAGTAGCAACAATCTTTAAGCTGAAATGTATGTCTGTCTTTCTTTATATTTAATATTTTAAATGTGTACATTTTTTTTAATCATGCAACTCTGTTACTCACTTTATCTTTTATTCTTTCATTAATTAGACTTTACATAATGTTCATGTTAATGCCTTCTTTGGGTGACTTTGTGAAGAGTGCTGTTTAAATTCATACTTTGTACGTGTTTACTTACTTTATTCTACGTGACACGATGGTTATAGCTCGTAAATATTACTCAGCATGATGAATGCTGTCAAGACTTCCTCTTTAAGTATTCCCTGAGGATGACTGGAGGAAAGGACTAAGTTAAGGATGGATGTTCAGTAAATGAACACATTCACTCAGGCAAACAATGTTCATGCTTGCACACATATTTTTATACAGCAGGTCTGTTTGTCTGTGTGTGTGTGTACAGGTGACTTCATCCTGTGAATGAATATTTTACACAAGTACAAACTCTGCATGTTGACTTATATGACGGTGCTGTGAGTATACAGTAAGAAAAAAAGAAAATGAATAAATAAAAGCATACAAACATTTGAGCAGACGATAGTGTGACATGCAGTCATGAATATTTTCACACACGTACAAACGCACGAGTCACTGCATTCACTTAAATTTAATTTGAAATTCCGACATGAGCTCATAAATAATAAATCTACTGGAATATTAAGGAAGAACTTGTGATATTAGGAGGACATGTTGGCTCAGTGAGAGTTTAATTAGCACAGAAATAAATGAACGTCACCTTTATTGTCCCTCTATGCTGTTGCTGTTGATATTTTTCTTTATTCAGGATGTTTTAAGGAGGTAGCAGCATGTTTGACTACAAATCTTCGAGTCATGATGCTCTACATTTTCTTTTAAATTATTCATGTGAAAAGCACAGTCTTCTTAAAACACACAAACGCACACCCACTCACACCACCGACACACCAACACCCACAGCACATCAAAAGATGGAATTCATGCTGTGTCCTCCCCCCTAAAAAAAAAAAAACCCAATTTACAGGATACATGTGCCCTGAATAAAAGAGATGCACTCAGGCACTAACTATCCACACTCACACACTCACACAGATCGTCGAGATGAATCTGAGGCTAAACAATGAATTGTACCTCCAGTTTGACCATCAACCATCTGCACTCGTGTGTTCTCATTCAACAGTTCCCCTTTTGAATGTACAGTTAACACCAGTACACATGTGTTAATCTATTGTATTTGTGTATTAAAATTCAAATATGAAGCATTTTGGCATACATGAATCCTTAATGCATCATTTTCAATTGACAAACTTCATTTGTTTGATTATTAACCCTCACATTTAACATTCACTGTGTTCACATAACGGCCGGGTCGTGTTCCTTTGAATCATTTTACTTCCAGGCACATTTACTACAATAGAGTATGAGGGCCACGTTAAAGAAAAAAAACCCTGAAACTTCAGATTCAGAGTCGTAGTATTTCAAGAATAAAGTTACTATATGATGAACGAAACTGATTTCAGATTATGGTTAACATCTCTGTTATTCTGAAGGTGAATATAAGCATGTGAATTTTTGTGTGGATCTCTAAATTTACATGACAAACTGGAACACAGCAGAACAACTTAATAACAGCATTTGAGTTCCCACACTGGGAAAATGAGGGAGGAAAATGTGCTCAATACCAATATGGAAATAAGGAGATTATATATTTGATAACTTGTGGACAAAAACATGAAGGGGGACCCATACTTTCTTTTAGGAGCATGGGCAATAAGTGTTACCAAAAGCTTTTACATTTTTGGACAAGTCGTCAACTTTGTCATCGTCTCTCTCTCTTGTATACGCAGGTGCACTAAACCAGCGCAACTGGGGGAAGAAGTACCCGTCCTGCAACAGCGGCAGACAGTCTCCCGTGGACATCGACGAGACGTTCACCCAAGTCAGGCTGCAGTACCAGAATCTACAGCTGGAAGGCTGGGACAAACTGACGGCAGAGTCCAGCACTATTCACAACGACGGGAAGACCGGTATGCAGATGTGTTTTCACTCCCTTTATGTATGCACGTAACAATGCATGGGAATTCCAAGCATTATTTGACTATGATGATGATATATGATATGATGTGATGGTCACAAATTCCCAGGCTGAAATTTTCCTACTTGCTCACATCAATCTTGGGAAGCCATTTCTACAATAACATCCTCCAAGCTATCTAATCACATTCTACTCATGTTCAACGAAAAGTGACATACAGGGTTTTTCTTTTGAATCCCAGACAAAGGAGCAACCAGAGGAGGGAGATGAAATATCAAGTAGATTCAATCCAAGGAAAGGATTTTTCTTAAATTGAAGTAAGCTGTAAAAAAAAAAAAAATGTAGAGATTTGAAATTGAGAGAAAGAGTCAGACAATGAAAATGAAGGAAGAAGATTTTGAGAGGGAGAGATGCAGCCATAGGGACGGAAGTACTCAGACATCATGTGGAGGAAGAGAGAAGATGGATGTGAAGAGGCAGAGATGAAACTGAGCGACAGAAAAGACAGCATGAGGAAACAATGTATATAAAGAGAGAGAGAAGTGAGGAGGATGAGAGGAGACAGTGAGAGGAAAGCAGCGGGGCCGAGTGATGTCTGGCCTGATAAACAAATGAAAGCTGTCTGAACTATCATCACCATCTCTCCGATATAGCTCGGGCTGTGTGTGAGTGTGTGTCTCCCTCTCTGTGTCTGCTCCCTCTATATGTTAATGGTCCACAGATTAATCCTCTTTTTTTTTTTCGCCTCTGTGAAGTCAGAGAGGAAATTGCGTCTTCAACACAAATTGCATAGCTGTCATGATATGAAAGAAATATATGGCAGGCACAGTTTCACTAAACTGAATTAAGTACGATGCTGTGAGGTTCTCATTGAGTAAGGGTTGAGAAACACGTGTGAGATTCAAAATATGAAACGGTAAAAGGGGACAGATAGTTTTCATTAGCCAAATTCAGACTGCCATTTCAAGCAACAATATTTAACTCCCCTGGGATGTTTCACCATCAATGGGAAGTGTTCCCCCTCTGGACCGTCTTCTGAGGCGTTACAGAGGTGAGACAGTTTCAGCGGCGCCAGCGGGGGAGCGCAGCGTCATATGACAGACAGTTTACATTAACCCCAATCAGGGGTTCTGTGGCCCCCTATTTTAGAGTTTAATTTCCCACTTTTATATGTTTTTGTTTAAATACAGAGTCTTCACTTTTCCTTTCTAGAAGCTCCAAAGAAACACTTTATGCACCTTGCACACCACTTTTTTTTATTTTCATTTCACCTTCATTTAACCAGGAATACTTTGTTGAGATTAAAATGATCTTCGTGTCCTTACCAGCAGACAGGCGGTGTTAGCCACTGGATAATAGAGTCAAGCTAAAGAGCCACTTTTTTCATCAGCTGTTGGTTGTAGAGACCAAAACAGAGCTAAAATGTAATAATTGAGGTAACGCCCCACAACAGTCAACATGACTCTAAAGGAAGACTGAATTTATTCAATACAATTATTCACCAATATTCACCTTTTGTAAAGCCAATCCTGCTCAATGCTCAACTCTCTGATCATGTGGTACAGGGCAGTAAAAGATCCCTGCAAATCCTAGCCTTTCTTAACCTGAGTAATCCTTTCAAAGGATGTTTTTAACTCATATGAGAAATCCCATCTGCCATTATTGTGGATAACCTTGAATTTTTACCCTCCACAGTCAACATGTTCTGTATTTGGCCTGTGGCTGGTGCAGCTGTAATTACCTGATTGTTTATGTCAATTATCACTGAAATGTTCACAGACCAGAATATCCCATTTTAATGCATGAAAACATTTACAAAGCAGAGCTGTGGCAGCCAGAAGCTTCTGTGTACTTGCCACAGTAGGAAATTTAGGATTTTTTTATCCGTGACATTTTGTGGCTAAAAGTACGAGATAAGGGCCAGAAGATCCAGATTTGGTCCCAAGTATTGGGGCACCAGATAGCCTAGTGGTTATGAGGTGCACCCCATGTACAGAGGCTATAGTCCTCGTTGGAGCTGCTATGAGTTTGGATCTAAAGTAGGCCCATTGTCTTCCCAGCATTTTAAAAAAAAGCTTGTACATAACTTTCATCAATCTGTTGGGTCCCTTAACCTCAAAGAAAAACTGTTCCATGTAGACAGGATGTTAAATCTGAGTTTGTGCTTCAGTGGCCATCAATGTTGAAGGGGAGTTCTTCGTGAGCGGAGGAGGACTGAGCTCCAGGTTCCGCGTCAGTAGAATCACCTTCCACTGGGGGCGCTGCAATGCAACCTCAGAGGGGTCTGAACACAGCCTGAATGGGATGAAATATCCTCTAGAGGTACAGATACACAGTACATGTTTGTCTATCCTTCAAATCAATGATTCACCACCTAATCAAGCTAACCTACCTGTCACCTTTTCTTGTTCAGATGCAGATCTACTCTTATGATCCAGATGACTTCCAGAGCCTGGATGATGCTATCAGGGAAGGAGGGAGGGTCGCTGCCCTGGCTGTGCTCTTTGAGGTGGGTCAACCTGTGGCTGTGTGCCTAAAGACAGGAAAAGGTCAAACAAAAGTGATTGAATTAGTGTGGATGGATCGTGGATTAGTGTGTAGTTGCTTGTTGATTAAATAAACAGAAGAGGTTTTTTTTCTACAGGTCAGCCTGGATGACAACGAGAACATCACTCCTGTTGTAGAAGCCCTCAACACTGTCAGCAGGTTTGGTAGGTCACTTCTAAATTTGACCTGTTGGTTATCATCCCACAATAAATATGAAAATCGAAATGTCCTTTCGAGAATAGATAAAGGTTTGAATTGAACATGGGCCCTTTATAAAGAAAAAGTGTGTGATTTAGGAAACAAAATATCAACAAATAAAGTAAGTTTTTGACTTGCCAACGGGAAACCAACAGGTGTTGCAGTGATGAAAGCGGGCAAGAGAACTAGTTCAGATAGAAGTGATTGTACCCGACCTAAAAAGCCTCTGCATGTTTCTAATAAGCTCCACGAGCAGAAGACGTGGTAAAAGTAGGATAAATATTGGCTCGACTCTAGAGAGAAGGGGGGAAGACAGCTCTCTACAATGATTTAAATTCGAAACTGCAGTACCCTTTTTTAACGCTAGGTGTCAGAGTTACATATTGCTTTTTTTAATCTCCATTTGATGAAAATTAAAAAGTTGTCAACAGATCGAGTAGCTGACTTGAAGCTAGGTGAAGCTTGATAACATTTTAACAGATACGTGCAGGCTGAAGCCAATCATTCAAAAATACTACAAACAAAAATGCCCTAAGTTTAGCTTTTTTTTCTCCAATATGATTAAATGTGAAAGGGTCAATAAATGGGTTCAAATAATTATGAATGTATACCACACTCTAAACATAGAGTCTGATTCTTTACTATATCACAGGTGGTCTGACAATATGAGGTGACACATTTGTTGTGTATTGTGACATTAGGTTTGCTGATTCGATTTTTTTCTTACCAGGTAAAAGCGGGTCGATGGAAGGTTTCGCCCTGAGGTCCTTGCTGCCTAATAACACCGATAAATATTACATCTACAACGGCTCCCTTACTGCACCTCCCTGCTCGGAAATAGTGCAGTGGATCGTCTTTAAAAACACTGTGGCCATCTCTGAAACACAGGTCAGTGGGGTCACACACACACACATTCATGGTAAATGGACTGCAGCTTGTATACCTCTTTTCTAGTCTTCTACTCAAAGCACTTTCACACACTGATGGTATAGGCTGCTAGGTAACGTGTTCATCATTATTAACTAATCCCATTCATACACATGCACACGCGGCTGACAAAACAGGGAGCAACTTGGGGTTAAGTGTCTCGCTCAGGGAAACATTGGACTTGTAGGTTCAGGAGCTTCCGGTTGAGAGATGACCTACGACTGAGCCACAGTCGCACTCATTTATGCTTCCTTTTCAGTTACTAATGCTCATTTCTGTCTGAATACATAGAAGACTTAATAACATTAAGTCTTTAAATAGAGAAATAAACCTGTGTAATGTAACTTGCACAAACTCTTGCACATCATGTCATTGAGATAGTAGGCTCTTTTGAAATATAAACCAGAAAGTCTTTACTTCTGAACTGATTTATGTCGCAGCATTAAAGAGGACATATTAGACCCAGATTCTACCTTTTCAAACAGTCCCCTGTGGTCTAAATGAAACATCTGTGCTGTGCTTTGGTCAAAATATAACATGAATCAAGCACCAGAGGAGGTTTGTGACCCTGTATAAACCAGCTCTCTCAGAACGCTCCGTTTTGGTGTCCTGCAGACCACAAACAAAGGACTGGATGGGTTTATTTCACATTTTGTGGGTCAGTAGACACTCAGGTTACCCAATAGATGTTCAAAAACACTGTAAAAGGGGATTTTTCATAATATGTGCCCTTTAAAACCTATGCAATGTTTGAAATTCTTAGTCAACGACACACACAGAAAAATGTGTGGTGTGCTTTGAATGAATGAAAATGAATGTTTTATTTGGTTATGTAAAGTCTGTGTTTGTCCTGAAAAACATCAATCTCAGTTTTCTCTCTGTTCAAAAAGATGACATTTTAAAAACAGTCAAACATCTTCAGTGAATTTAACAACAATTTTGCATGTGTGGTTGTTGCATTGTTTAAGGTCAGTTGTCTTTGACATCTGTGCACTACATTAAAAGAAAATGTCACATCAGAGTGATACAATGTGACAGCGTCAGCCCAAATGGGAACTTGCAGAATATGGGTTTTGTAGAGACATGAGTTTAGCCTGTAGTGCAGCACGCCACAAACTCACACTGTAATGTTACTGCAGCATAACTCCAGGCTGAAGACGTAGAAAGACCTCTGAGGAAAAACGCCAGCCCATGAAATCATGTGTGTGTAATAATCATCAATTATATAGCCGAATAATGGAGAGAGAATGAGGTCATGAGAGTGAATGTGTGTAGATCCCATGTGCATATTTGTGTGTGTTTGTGTGTCTGCGTTTGTCTGTGTTGCATGATTGAAACGGGGGTGGCAAGGCATGACATGGACACATTGTAGAGGACCAAAAATAGAGCAGCGTCATCTCCCTGCCCTCGCCTCGGCACAAACAGGAATCAGCACTGGGTTTTATTTTTTTGCAAATGTAGAGAAACGGAGAACTCCTTTTTTTTTTGTTTCAGCTGCTCCTCACCTGCCCTCTCTCTCTTCTCTGTTTCTGTCCGTCTCTCTGCACAGCTCGAGGTGTTTTGTGAGGTGATGACGATGGAGCAGGCTGGATATGTGATGCTGACAGACTATCTGCAGAACAACTTCAGGGAGCAGCAGCAGCAGTTTATGGGTCAGGTGTTCGCCTCATACACCGGCGTGGAGGAAGTGCAAACACCCAGTACGTCATCCGTCACCCTAAAACAAACTTTGCTGCTCGCTTGCTTTGTTTGATTATTCCACTTGCATATCAAAATGTCTTAACCACAGTATTCCTCTAGTTTAACAGAACACAGTAAACCTAACGTTTTTGAGTTAATTCTGAGACCAGCCTGGAAAAATGTGATTTGAGTTTCACCATTTAAAACAAAGCTTCCTCCCTTCCACTCTAACTGCACGAGGCTTTTAGCACTGGTGTATGAGAATTAGACAATTTATGCAGTGACGCAGATTTGCATAGAGTCGTGCAAATTTTTATACAAACGACGGCACAAATATACACAAACAGCTGCAGCGCATTTACTGATGCATTTAACCCTTTGTGTGTGTTTTGTGAATCAGACATTTTGACCCGTTTGCACAGGTTTAGCAGGCTAAAAAGCTGCACAATTATTTTGCTCTAAGAGCTGAAAATACGCACAAAGCCTCAATTCAACTAAGGAGGGACGCTGTATTAGCTGTCTGTTTACAGGTGACTTTTGCAACACTTCTGCTGGCAAGAGCCACACATGTGTAACGTGATCCACATAGGTCTATGGGGTAGGGTTAATTTGCCCTGAGCTCAGGCTCACAGGTCTACCGTTCCTTACTGTCGGCCCTAACTCTGGTAACTTTTTGTCTTGAATTGTAGACTCAATTTAATCAAACCCCAAAAGGTGTATTTATGTTCTAGTATATCGCCTATTTTAATCTGTGATTATGACCTAATGATGGAGAAACGATTGATTGAAGTGATGCCGCTAGCCTCTTCGCTCGTCACAGTGAGTTACACTGGTATTGATCCACGGTGCTGTTTCCTCTCAGCAACAGATTCTCATTCGACTTTAAAGACTTGGACCTAAAATCTACACTCCATCATAACTAAATATTTTCACTTATCTAATTTCATTAATTTTTTGTGGGAGACTGGTGGAGAAAATTGAATTCCCTTCACAGGGATCAATATAAATACTGCATAATTTATCTTATTTTCATCCTTGATGAAAAATCTTTTCCATCCTCTGCTTCCTCTGTAGCTGAAATTCTGTCCTCTTAGGTCAGCCTAGCCACGATCATCAAAAGATATAATCCGCAACGCTCTTTCCATCTTCATAAAGTCGACCCTCAAGTCTTTGGGGTTGCTAGGGAGCTCGACTTTGTACTTCAGCGCCCCTGCTCCTCTCTGCGCAGGCAATTTATTTTGCAGCTCTTTTTGAAATTGAAATAAAGTATTCAGAAATTCACAAAAGAGTCCTTTTGCCTGTAAGAAATTCATGCAGCCGTACACACTCATGCATACACCTCCTACTCATTGCCACTCTCACCTGCTTATCTACGATTTTAAAATGTATTCCTGTTCTCTTCCATTTTCAATTCAGTCGATTAACATCAGGTTGCCTTCAGCACACAAAACTCAATGAGTGATGATGTACTTTTCCTGTGTTGTTGGTGCATAGACGTTTAGTTATGAATTCTGCTGCTATCATGTTTTTATTTTTTTTTATCTCCTTCTTCCAGGCTTTTTAGAAAATCTCTTACACACAATATTTTCTTTTAACTATCTGTCCCTCTTATTTTCATCTCCAGCCTGCAGCTCAGAACCAGAGAATGTCCAGGCCGATGCCCAGAATGACACCACCATTGTGGTTACGTGGGAGCGCCCTCGCTTTGTTTACGACACGACCATCGACTGGTACACTGTCACCTACCAGAGGCTGCAGGGCAGAGAGCAGAACAGGCAGGAGTACAGGACAGACGGGGATCAGGACGTGGTATGAAAACATGTCTGAACACAAACACAGAGAATTATCACTTACAGTATGTGCTCTCACCTTTGACTGCATGTCATTTCCACTCTTTGTTTTGCAACATAATCTACAGTCCATGCAGGTACACTTGACTTAAAAATAGATAATAGCTAGAAATCACCTCATAAGTGGTTCCCCGTTTCTCCTGCAGCAAATATTAGAGCATTGTTTGTTAGAATGTTATCAACCACCCGAGCTCTCTTTTTCTCTCTGTGTTCTATCACTGTCACTTTGCCACCGTTGTTGGGATACAGATTGATCAAAGTGATTGATTCATTGGTTGTTAAGATCAATCTTGGCCTCTTAACGGGCCATTGAGCATCCCTTAATGTGACCCACAATAACGAAGGTTACGTATGTAACTCCGGTTCTATGAATCCTGGATGACACCGCCTCTGGCGAGCAGGAAGGAGGAAATAGAGCTGTGTGTGTCTTCATGTGGTCTGTTGATCTGTGTTAGTCTTTAGCTGTTTTCACATATGCACTCCTGAATATATCTAGATCATTTCAAGAGGACTGCTCCTGAAACGATCCTGAGCTGGGTGTTTACTTATGGACCTCACAGCAGGAGACCATCCCTGTCAGACAGGAGGAGTGGTGGGGGGGGGGGGGGGGGGTCACCTAAAGCAAGACTTGATGTAAAAAGAACAACATAGTAATGGTAGATGAAGCAACAGAGTCGGATATATGGCTATATTTTCGTGCGTAATAATTCTGCAGCAGGGCGTGGATACCTGTTACTGACTTTATTATCCTCTTGTCATTATATGGTCACTTTTACTTAAAACAAAGCAAGATAGCACAAGCCTTCAAAACAGTAGTCTGAAAAGCCTTCCATGTAGGTGACATCAAGGTGGTTAAATCCTATTCTAACCTTCAGTCTTTGGTTCAAAACGACTGATATAAACTCTCCTCTGTGACTCCCTTCAGGGTGCCATCATCCCCAGCCTGCTGGCCAACAGCAGCTATGTGGTTCAGGTCGTTGCTATTTGCACCAACGGACTCAAAGGGCGATGGAGCGACCAGATCATAGTGGACATGCCGTTAGAAGACCCTGGTACCAACACATGAACACACAAAAAGTGAAAAAGCATATATTCAAAGTGCTAAATTTTTAATAAGGAGCTTTTCTTGTCTTACTGTAGAAAGTGAGTCCGATCCCGACGCTGTCACAAAAGACTTTGGAGGAAACAACAAGGAGGTAGGAGAGTCTCTGCTGTTTCACCTGACTCCCCTCACCACTCTTCATTATTTCACTGAGCTTATTCAGCATGTATTCAGTCATATCAGTGAGCATAATTAGTATGCAAATGATCTGTAATTGTATCAGTAAAGGCTTGTCCTAATGTGTTTTGAGAGCAGAACACAAGGTTAGAAGGGAGCTTCCAGCATGTTTAGAAGAGATTAAAGAAGATTGTAATGCTGGCATGTTTCCCTCCTTGAGAGAACAAGTACAGCCTGTGCTCTTTCCACACTGCATTAATGGAGGTTGCTCAATGTTTTATTATCACTTAATTTGAATATTTTAGAGCTAAACAAGATGCAGCACCACTGTGTCTTTGGTTGCGCTGCAAGAAGTGAAACCTTAAATCAAGAATTTACATGCATTTCTTTTACTAAATATATCATCTGTCCAGACAACTCTTTAGTTACAGAGTGTCTCTTGTTTCAAGCTTTTTCATCCTTTACTATTTTAAAGAGGTGCTAGAACTGAGATATATTACTGGTTCTAAGTGAACTGGTTCATTGTTTCATGTAAGTCCATCACCACAGGTCATGAAAGTAAACAAGATGTGCACACCAAAAATGCTCCCGTTTGAAGGATTTATTGATCACTGACGTTTCAAGCCGACGTGTTCGTCCTCAGACTTGAAAAGAGAGTAATTTTTTTCATATTGTAAATCTTTTTTCTTGTTTTTTTTAGAGCTGACTTTTTTCCAGTGAGGATGTGTATTGCATATTTATCATCAAAGGAATTTGTGGCAATAACATAACAATCCTTGCATTTTTTTGTTAATTCTTTAAAGCCTGTCTCCTTCTAATCTTAAACAGTGTATAAGCAAACACATTATGACAAACCTCCACACAGTAAAGCTTCATCCTTTGTGCTAGGTCTCGTCTAAAGGCAAATGGGAGAAGCCTGACAGCCAGAACCGCTTAAATTTATCTCCAGACGACAACAGCCCCGTGGAGGAAATCCCCCTTGAGCAGACCAAAGTTTACCAGAACCAGCCCGGTGACAAAACCCAGGCGAACCTCCCGGTCCCCGTTGGCTCTCGTACGACCCCAAAGTTCCCGTCTGAGTCCGCCGTCCTGCAGAAAACTCGACCGAAACAGAATGTGAAAAAGAAAACGGGCCCAAAGAAGAGCAAACCTGAGGATGTGGATCAGAACTGGATCGATGAGGACCAAATGATGACGACACAGCGGCCGTTCACTAACTCAGGTTTTGATGGTAACGGTGCAATATGGGTAACTGAGGTCACTGAGCAGCCGGGCTTCCTGTTTCCAGTGGCACAGTCCATCACACCGCCGACAATCCGCCGACAAATGACAGAAGAGGCCTCGCTGTCAGAGCCGCAGAATCAGGTAGTTCACTCAGCTCATTCTCCATTTCTTAATGCATATATTTCCTCCTCCTTAAACCCAATTTAACCAACATAACACAACGTCTACCTCTTCACTTGTAGCCAACAGATCAGGATCCACCAGAACAAGGCGGTGAGAGCGGCCTCCCTTCTCCCCAGTCGGACCTCTCCACCAATCCTGTTGAGGACATCGAGGTCACAGACGTCTTCTATGAAGACGCAGACATCAACGCTCCTCCAGAAACCGCAACCTCTCCAGGTCAGACATGATTGGAAGAGAGCTCTCTCTTTTTTTTTCTTTGCACTCTTGTTTATCAGAAAACACCTCGGGTTGCGGACTACCACTGCAGCTCTTCATGCAGTGCCAGGGAGGAATTTAAGCTCATAAATGTTTAAAATAGGAGCAGCAGAAGACACTGCCACAGCTGCCTACTGTGACTCCTCACAAATGGATCTTAAATGCTTGTTCACTTTGGATGTTTGCTAATTGTAACTGTATTTCATCTGATTTATTTGATTCATGTTAACTCAGTAATTTAAGACATTTTTATTAATACATCCAAATCTTAAAAATACAAAAATTATATATTTTCTTTTCTTTTTTCATTAAATAATAAAAACACTTTTTTAGTTTTATTTGAAAGTGAGGTGTTCTGGATCTGCCATTTGTGAGTCTGTTGGTGTGTTTGTATGCATCACACGATGACAAAAAATACATTCATTCATTCATTTAAACTGAGATGTGTCTCAATATGATGGCCGACCGATGTGGAATTTTTGGTGCCGATAACGATATTAGACGATGATAAATCTGATACCAAGAAGTCGGCCGATATCTTTCTTAGATCCATGCTCTAACTTTGGAGATAGAAACATTTAGATATGCATATTTATCAAACACTTGTGGAAAAGATATACAGTATAACGAAGACAAGATGTTCACTCAACTGGAAAGTAACTGCGCATCTACGTCCATCAGAGCTTGACACTCTGGAGAGAGAAGACGCTTCGTGTAATCCATATAACGCCCTCTGCTGGTGAAAGAGAACTGTTAGTTTAATACAATGAAAATCAAATTAATTGCTATTTGACTGTTGAATAAATCTATTAATATCGGCACAAATCTGCGATAAGATGAGCCGATACCGATAGTCCCTGGATATGCTAATATCGGCCGATGTTATGCTTATAAAAGCAATGATAAAAAAGTGTTATTATAGTATATGAAAAAGTAACAGAGAAGTAATCATAATGCTCATAATTAAGAGTACAGGTGAATTACTTTTCATGACATCCTCTCTCATGTTACATCATGGCGTGTTGGATCATCAGTCATTTTATTCACTTTATATCTCCTCAAGTCTTCATGAGAAATGATCACGTCATGGTATGTCAGGACATGTTGCATCATGTAGAGTTAGGCAGCGTCATGTTGTGGCTCAACAGGTGCCGTGTCGAATCATTACTTTCCTGTCCCACAGGTAATGATATGGATAGAGTCTCCTCCGAAGACAGCACTGAGCCTGTGAACAAGCCTCCACCGGAAACCATCACTTCCTCTTCTTCTTCCATCTGGATCACAGTGAGGACGGCCACCGCCAGCAACACGCTCGCAGAGTCGGTCTACAAAACGTTCACCACCTCGTCTCTGCTCAAAGTGCTGATGCACACGACGCAGCCCATGTTTAACAGTAAGATGAGACACCCATATTAAGAAAAACATGCTAAAAAACTGCTTTTATGAATACATTGGCTTCAATTTTGAAGGTAGACTTTTCCTTTGTTTGGCTCATCATTTCTGTGCTCCATGATTTCTGTAGCATGTCGCGTAGTGGCACGTTGTAGGCAACGCTGATGGTGGTGGTGACGATGGTTGGAAAGAAAAAGCTGCTGGCTTTGATTGTATTTAGAGTGAAACTCAGTGGCTGCATTTCTCTCTGAACAGGCTGAGAAATTAAATATGCTACAGAAATCTTGCAGCATATTTGGACTCCACATGAGGTCATACTGTAGTTGCTCTTCAATATCAACTTGAATCCACTCAGTCTGTGTGCTTCTCATCCACTTATGAGACTCCTCAAATGGGGCAGCTTTTCTTCTGTGGCTCAACGCTGCCCTCTGGTGGTTGTTTTCTCCATGGCTTCTTACAGAATGCAGTTTTCATTTTAATCATGAGGGTGCCTCACCTGTTTGATTTGCCCAAGTTGATTCATCTGGAACTCGCACAATAACTCTCTCCTTTTGCATTCTTTGTTATAATGACAGCTGAAAGCTCTTCCTCTGCTGAATCAGAGACTTTGCTATGCGCAACTTTCTGGGAAGATTCATTACTACCTTTTCTTCCATCTTCCTTGAAATAAGAAACGTTTCCTTTGAGACTTTTACTTTGTGACTCTTCTTGCAGCAAACACTCCCACTCCCAAGGTTGAAGACTCGCGCATCAATCTGTCCCCTGGCTTAACAAACTCTGCTGGTGGAGTGATCGCCCACCCTGCCAAACCTGCAGTCTCTATCCCAGAGGGAGGACCCACTGCTAATGGAGATTTATTCAGTGTCACTCCTCAACCAATCCACCCTTTTAATGAATACACCGTTAGTTTCCATCCTTCTGCTGCCCTCGCTGAAGATGCAACAAGCAGTGTTTTCTTTCATTCTAATCACAAACCCTCTGCAGAGCAAGCTATTGTCAGTCTGAAGATGGATTCAAAACACCCTCAGACCTCTAGAGCTTTGGATTCTCAGGATCATTTAATCACTTCACATCCCCTTTCTCTGCTGCCTGATTATGACTCAAGCACCATCAACTCAGCCAAAACAAACAGAGCTGAAGAGAATAACCCGAGCACTTATCACAGTCTTTATAATCGGATACAAGATGATGTCAGCATCTTGCAAAGTCCTGAAACTAAAAAGGAATCCAAGATGGACAGACACAGCGTCTTATCTTTCTTTGATTCTAAAAGTCTGACTTTGTCTGTTCCGTCTAATGCAGAAGCATCCAACACTGACATGTCAGCAGATGGGAGTGGATCAGGCTCTGGCTTTTGTAGCAACAAGCTCAGTGAGGATTTCGATGCAATCACTGCAGCCAAGTCTGACCCTCCTACTATAGCAAACTCAGCTGTCAGCTTCACAGGGGATCAAACAGGGACAAAGGGCGAATCAAAAGTCAGGACTGATAGTGAAAACGATTATGGCACACAAAGATCAGGACACAAAATACAGAGCAGTCAAACAACTGTGTTGGAAGAAGAAACTGAGGGGGATGAAAGCGAGCTAAATGGCAAGGTGGAAGAAGAAGAGAAAAAAGAAGTATTCGACATGCGTAGTCAAAGAGTGAGCAAAGTTGACGGTGAAAAAGATGAGAGAGTCAGACAGTTCAGTGGCACAGCAGGCTGGGGCATGCTGGGAGAGAAAGAGAGAGAAACTGAAGTTGAGATTGTTGCAGAAAATACGTTGTATACTGAGACGAGCAGTGTGAATGAAACAGAGTTAAATTCAAGGTTTTTTCTCTGGCCAGAGGAGGCAAGAGGTCCTCCTAGAGAGGGTGGTGGAGATGGAGCAGAAGATGGAAAAGACCATGAGGTCAGGGAAGATGATATAAGTCAGAAGTCTGTAGGTAAAAATGAACGTTGTGTCACTGGTCATGGAGTGAAGGATAGTAACAAAACAGCTGTATCTGAAGAAAGGGATGGACTCCAGTTTCCTGACAATCAAGATAAACTTACACAGGTTTACCAGGATAGAGATAGAGATGGGGATGGTGACGGACCTGGAGGTGTTAGGAGTGAAACATTTATTGAAGGGGATGGTAGGGAGGGTATTAAAAGAGCTTTGATTGAAGAGGGTTTGCAGCAGGTCTTAATCGGGGACGGGTTTTTGTTTGATGGTGCAAGAAGTCCCACGGAGGAGCAAACATCAGGTAAATGTTACTCAGTGCTCTGCCTCTGTGTGGCAGAATGTGTTCAGCCATAACAAATTTTCCATGCATACACTTTTCTATTTATAAACATTGCACAAAAAGTAAGGAAATATGTGTTTGGTAGATTATTTCTTTGTTGTAACAATGCTTTTCAGCAATAAATCTTATACCGTTGGAAAGCCTCTTTATTTCACTTTTAAATGGTGCCACATTTGTAAGGAACATGCGTTTGTGGGATGAGCAGCAGAGCTGAGTGTGTGGGTTGAGCCCATGAAAAACTTGCCAAATCTTCTCTGCCAAGTTCTCTGTAGTAGTTTTGAGAATCAGTTTGATACGGACTTATCAACCGCTGTTTTAAAAATGTAGATTAAGCTGAATTCAAAACAAGTCAGGAGTTCTATACAATACTATTTAGTTAAAAGAAAAGTGTTTATTCTAATTGAATTATCTAAATGAATCACAGGTTGTACTTATAAGTAATACAAATACATAATAATAAAGTTGTTGCCTCTCCTTTCTAGCAGGGAGCAGCAACAGCAGCCACGAGTCTCGGGTCGGACTGGTGGGAGGTGTGGAGAGAGAGAAGAGGACGGTCGTTCCTCTGGCTGTCGTCTCCACTCTCACCATCCTCTGTCTGCTGGTACTGGTGGGCATACTCATCTACTGGAGGTACACACACACACAGACAGACATATATACACACACACGGTAAAAACCTGCCAGGATCAGTATTACTTGTGTACTTAGAGATTGGTCTGTTTGTGTTGCAGAAACTGTTTCCAGGCAGCCAATTTCTACCCTGACGACACTGCATCACCTAAAGTCATATCTGTTCCGTCTACACCCCTGCTGCTGGCCACAGGTAACACACACACATACACACTGGACTTTTTAACAGTTGTGATACATAAAAAACTACTGAATTGTAATGCAAAAATGTAAATGTTTGCTCTTTGGTTGCAGACGGTCACGAGCCGCTGACAGTGAAACAGTTTGTGAAACATGTCATGGAGCTGCACTCCACCAACACGTTCTCCAAGGAGTTTGAGGTGGGTGAAGTGGGTCATGATGTAGATTTAAAAAAAAAAGAAAAAAAAAAAGGTCTGCAAAGTATAGAAGACATAAAATAAAATAAATCCTGCATAAAAGCAGACAGTACCTCATTCGCTCCTAATGCTCTTCCATATCTTTATTAACATCATGCTCGTTAGGAAGACGTTTCTCACTAGTAACAGCAGACTCCAACACTCAAACAGAAGACAGGACTTCAAATTTAATACGATATAACAATTTCACTTAGTGGAAAATCTTCATCTTTGTGTTAAACATGTTTCATCTGGAGATGGACGTACTGTATGTATGAGAGTGAAATGTAAACACACATTCTGGAGTTCTGTTTTCTAGATTTTAATCGTGTTCTCCTGTGTGTTTGACTTTGATAAATCAGGCTTATTTTGTGTGTTAGTAGTCGTCATTTTCATTTCGACTGCAAGAGTGCACTACTCACCACTGCACTATAATCTTATTTAGCCTTGTATATATTAGTCTTTTTTCTTACAATATGTTTATATTTGATGTTGAGAGCACAGTGACTGAAGAAAAATTCTGTGTGTGTGTGTGTGTGTGTGTGTGAGCATACATGGTCAATCAAGCTGATGCTGAAGAGGTTGAAGTGATTAACTGTGTAAGGTTTTCTTCCAGGTGAGAATATATTTCTCTGTACAGTCCACACAAACAGTCATGTCTTTCCTTTGGCTGAACATTTATTTTTTAATGAGAACTACCAAAAATAGAACGCGTAAGCAAAACAAAACGTCCTCTTCTAAATACCACATTTTTCTAAACCTTTGTTTTTTTTGGTTTTTTTTTTTTTTACAAAAGAAGGAACATCTTTGCATTTTCCCATTTTAACCAGTAAAATAAATAGTCCAAGAATCTTTGAATTTCCACCAGAAAAAACCTTCTGTTTCACATATAAGACACAAAAAATGAATCAAACAACTTAAAAAAAAAACAAGCTTGAAAAAAACGTTTCTTTCACTTGTCTTAAGTCATAAACACCGGAGAGAAAACTTTATAGATCAGACCTAGTGAATGAATCCCAAGATTTTCTTTTTCCTCTCAGGAGTTCTGAACATGTCTGAATGTCGTTGTGTACTTGAAAACAGCTTGTGCATTAGTCTCAACAACTACATACATTTGCATGACATTAGTCACCCGTGTTTCCGAGCATGAACCCTCTGAGTAAGACACACAGACAGGATTAACAGACGGATACTTCTCCCATCGAGGTGAAAGCCTATTTTGTCACAGTTTTTAAAGCCACAGCGCAAATTTAACATCCATGTAAAAAGCTAAGCTGAGGGAGTAAACAGTGTTTGCACAATCAAAAAGATGCTTTGATATGTCACAGTGTTCAGTATTAGGTTTGGCAGACATGGCTCAAAGGGAACATCTTTGTATTTCCCAGTTAGCATTGCCTCTCTGTGTGTATCTGAACCCCATGTTCCTGTACCTGCACTGACTCCCTGTCTGTCTGTCTGTCTGTCTGTCTGTCTGTCTGTCTGTGTCTGTGTCTGTGTGTCTGTGTGTCTGTCTGTGTCTCTGTGTCTGTCATCTTGCCCCCCCTCCGACTCTCCTTTTACCACCTCCACCACCATCGTCGTGCTTTCTGCATCCTCACCACCCTCCATTAGATTGTCAAAGAATCCTACGAGGTAAGACACCTACGTTATCACCTCTCTTCTGCAGTTTCCGAGGTGGCTCCTTTATCCTTCTCCACAAATCAAAACAACATTTATTTTCTTCCCCGTTGTCTGTTTTTAGACGACATCACCAGTATTTTAGAGTGATATAACGTGATTCACCAAGTTTCATTTTCCTTTTGTTATCACAAAGAGGCTTTTGGTTATATGATTAGGAATTGTCGTTCTCAGACCTGAGACACATTTTCAAAATGAATTGGAGCAAAGAACCCTTTCAGTTCCACCACAGCAAGAGCCTTTTTAATATTTCACTTATTCTGTACGACAGTTTTCTAACATTGACACCGCTCACTTACAGAAGTATCACTTGCCTGCAGAGTTCATTGATCAAATATATTATTTATGACTATGTTATTTGTGAAGCTGCCTGGGAACATGTGTGTTTTTGAGTTAACAGATCAGTAGTGTTGTAGTCAAGACCAAGACATACCCGAGACCAGACTGAGACATTTAGGGATCTACTGCAGACTGAGTCAAGACCAAGACCATTAATGTCACTGAAAAATCATCATCTTGTGTGCAGGTGGCGTGTCACTCACTTAAACCGTAACACTGGGAAGGTTGGGGCTGTAACTGGGGGAAAAATGACTTATAAATGAATTGAAGTCATTTGTTCTTTTAGAAAGAGGCGTTTTCCTTCACGGTAATGACTTGAAAAATAGCCTCTCAGTGTTGGTCTTGATTTATAATCCAGAGTCCGCCCAGTCTGAGACCGAAACAAGACCGAGTAAAAATGCTTTTGATTGCGAGACAAGACCTTCAAAAAGTGGTCTTGAGACCCAGACCGATTTAGAGAACTACAACACTACAGATCAGGAATGAATATAATGCATGTTGTGCTTCTTCTTGTGTTTCTCTCATTGATTTTCTCCTCAATACACAAACCTTCTTTACCTCTTCACTGTAAGAGTTAGTGTTTTATTTAAGTCAGTTGTCATAATAAATAAATAAATAGCTACTTGTCTAAAAGAAAAACCACATTGTACCACATTTAGTATCTTCAGCTTCCTCTCACAACTAACCTCCGTCCTGTTTGTGTGTGTGTTCTTTTTGTCATTTCTCAGGAGGTGCAGGCGTGCACGGTGGACATGGGCATCACTACCGACAGCTCCAATCACCCTGACAATAAAAGCAAGAACAGATACATCAACATACTGGCCTGTACGTCACTGTTCAGCCTCATTGAACTTTTGTTTTTTAAAATGTCATCGTCAGCAGTGATGAAACTGATCGTCCTTTATTACTTTCAGATGACCACAGTCGAGTCAAACTCTGCAACAGTTTGGACAGAGACGGGAAATCTGGAGATTACATCAACGCCAACTTTGTGGATGTAAGTGTGGTCTCATGCATGCTAGAAGGAAGGCTGACACAGCATCCTGAAATACCACAACGTTGTCTACTTGACTTTGCATTCAGCACTTTCTAGTTAATTCATGTTTTTCCTTCTCTACAGGGTTATGAGCGAACAAGGGCGTACATCGCAGCTCAGGGGCCTCTCCGAGCGGGCAGGGAAGACTTCTGGAGGATGATCTGGCAGCAGAATGTCGGAGTCATCGTCATGATCACAAACCTCAAAGAGAAGGGACGGGTAAGAGGACCCTCTGCTTCTAACACAAACACACGTTCTGTCACAGAGATGAGTGACCTTTCATCTGACCTCACACTTTCACATCTTATCGTGTGTGTGTGTGTGTGTGTGTGTGTGTGTACATCGTTATCTTTCAGTGTCGCATTGAAAGAGCAAAGCCTGAGACGTCTAATCCTGAGACGCCTGAGGAACTTGTAAATGTTTTGTATAAATCAAAATTTTGTATTTCATGACATCTACCTTGCTAGCCTTGATTTACTCCTAAATAAGATGCTGAAATGTAACTTAAAGTGAATGTTATCTTACAAAAAAGTAAAAGCTGCAAATGGAGGGGCAGCTTTAGAAAATAAAGTACGGTAATGTTTGAATAAAAAAGCAAATTTAAACTCCTAGATTGCAGATTTTTGAATACTTTTTCTGACAAGTGTTGAAAAACAATTGAAGCTGATTATATAATGTTTGACAAAATGTGTTGATTTTACTGCTCTGTAGTTTTTAAAGCAACATTAGCTGTGAACAAAATCTTAAAGTGGTGAAGAGGCGTCGCAAACAGCAGCATTCAATGTGTGCTGTGTTTCTCGCAGCCTGACCAATGTAAGCTTTATATACATTTACTCCTGAGGGAGATGTCGGGCTTTCAGTCACTCACTGCTCCTGTATGTTCACAAGCTTGTCACTGTGTCAGTCTGCCGTTGGTTGCTGGGCAAGGCAAAGTACGATGGGTTTATCAGAGCTTTTCAGCTGTGCACGACTGATTAGGGCTGTGAGACGCGATGACATCACAAGTACATGTGAAGGAAAAGCCCATTTACACTTAGGGCCCCAAAAGTCCTGGATTGCTTTTAATTGACTTTAATTTGTTATAAGAATGTTTTTTGACTGTTTTGCCTAAACTGAAACTGAATATTTACCTCCTTTAAAGCACTATAACTATGATTCTTGTTTTTTAATTTATTTAAATATGATCCTCTCATAAACCAGAAGGATAGGCTATGACTTTTTCAGGACACCAGAGGTTTAGATGTTTGCCATCCTCTGGTTTGGATCGATCGCTTCTCTTGCAGTACTCCATTCCATCAAGTTGTACATTGTTCGTCTTTCTGCAGACGAAATGTGATCAGTACTGGCCCGATGAGAACCAAGAGGAATACGGTCAATACCAGGTGACCCTGAAAAGCAGCAAGACCCTGGCTTACTACACGATGCGGACGTTCACTGTCCGAGATACCTCAAACAAGGTTCTTAACACACAAACCCTTAACGCTCTCTCTCAAACACACATACATCAACAAACTGTGCTGACAATGCTGTTTTAATGAAAGTCAAAAATAAAAGGGCTCACTGTTTTATACCTGTTTTGTTCCTCCAGGCATCTCAGAGGAGAGTTGAACACACGGTCCTCCATTACCACTACACCCAGTGGCCAGACATGGGCGTCCCAGAATACACTCTGCCTGTCCTGTCCTTCATCAGAGCATCCTCCCAGGCGAGGACACAGGAGGTCGGGCCTGTTCTGGTACACTGCAGGTAAACTGTGTGTGCGTATGTCAGATTCCACTTTAATCTTGGGAGACAAAAAGAGAGCTACCATGTCAAATACACCCTAAACTGAATAAACGTTTTTTGACTTGTGATGTGCCGTCACAGTGCCGGAGTAGGAAGAACAGGCACCTACATCGTGATAGACAGCATGCTGCAGCAGATCCAGGATCAGGGTACTGTGAATGTTCTTGGTTTTCTTAAACATGTGAGAACACAGAGGAACTTCCTGGTTCAAACAGAGGTAAGCGACCTGACACAAACACACACTTACAACATGTAAGAATAGGTGCATCCTCAGGATCACTCAGCCCTGTCCCTCTCCTGCAGGAGCAGTACGTGTTCATCCATGATGCTCTGGTGGAGGCCGTCTTGAGCCGGGACACCTCTGTGACGTCTGACCTCCTCCACACTTATGTGTCAGACCTCCTGACCCCCGGGCCGTCAGGCAGGACCCGTATGGACAGACAGTTTAAGGTACAGCGTGTTCCCTTTTTCCCCCCCATGTCGATCAAATAATGCCGATCCCAAAGTAACGCCTAAGGGGATGTATCTGCAGGGTTTGACATATTAGCGCCTGTGTCAGTAAGACGACCATATAGATTCATTATTTATCCAGCTGTCTTAGCTGTGAAGCTCCTGTTTTTTACTTCTACTTTCAACTCCCTGTCACTTTTACTTATCGCCCCGGCTGCACAGAGAAAACAGTTGGACACTGTTTTTTATTGAAGAAAATACGGGGAAACATGAGGAACAGGAGAGACTCTGTAAATGTTTATAAACAATGAAATAATGATGAAAGCCAACGTTGTCTCTCCGTCACTCCAGTGATAGATTTGATTTTGGGCCTTTATTGTAGAGATAGGACAGTGGATAGAATCAGAAATCAGGGAGAGGAACGATATTGGGAAAGGAGCCACATGTTGAATCCAAACTCGAGCGGCCCACTTTATAACCTCCGTACATGTGGCGCTCGCACTAACCACTACTCTACACTCGCCCCCTCCAGTCAGATGTTTAGTGTAGAAAGTTTGACGGTATGCATTGGCTCTACATTTCCAGGAATTTGCCAAACTCCTTTTTATCATTTGGATCACATCCATCCCACATGTTCATGCTTTGAATGTAACTGACTGTTTTGTTTGTATTTTAGTTGATCAGTCAGCGGCAGGCGAAGCACGCAGACTACAGCACGGCTCTGAGAGACGGCAACGCGGAGAGGAACAGAGCCAGAGCGCTGATGCCTGGTGAGCAGGGCTGCTTTCATATCTGAGCTGAAAGGAAACGGCTGCAGGGCGCCAGATCGCCAATAGTCTTAAGTTTCATATTTCTAAAATGGACATCAGTCTGTCTCTATTTCTCTTTAAATATTTTTCCATTTATTTTGTATGTTTATTGTATTATATTATTTAATATCTTATTTTATGCCATTATTTTTTTACATTTATTTTCCCCTTTGCTTTTACAATTCCTTGAAGGGTTAAGCTGTCAGCCAGTTTGAATTTAGTGGTTTACAGGAAGTCGAAGAATGTGTTTAAATAAGTAAAAATACACAGAAATAACTGCAAAAAAATACAAAGCTAAAAGAAAAACTTAAAATCACGTTCAGTCATATTTTATTAGTCTGTGTCTCTTATCTTTTAAAGAGTCTATTAATATTAGGTTTACATTTTACATGACAGGAAGCTCATAGATCATGTTGTTAGGTCTCTGTTTGCCAGTTATTTGTTCCTAGCTCGTTTCTTTGTGTCTTTTTTTTAGTGGAGAGATCCAGAGTGTGTCTGACTGCTTCAGAATCAAACGCCACGGGGTTCATCAATGCCTCCTACGTCATGGTAAGACAAATGGACAACTCGTGGTTGTTACTGTTGTATTAGAAACTGGTCTTTAGTTAAAGGGGACATTTTATGAAGAATCCACTTTCACAGTGTTTTTGAACATATATTTGGGTAACCTGAGTTTCTACTGACCCACAAAATGTGAAATAAACCCATCCAGTCCTTTGTTTGTGGTCTGCATAAGTCTTACAACACAGAGAAAAACGCTCTGTTTCAAATGTGCTCTCCTTGTGATGTCACTCCCCTGGTATCTCCAGCCATGGACTCCACCCCAGTCTAGAACAACTTTTTCGTAGGTCCGCCATTTTTATTCTCACTACAGAGGAGTGATGTCTACCAGGAAAACTCAGGGGGGGGGCTCATTACATTTAAAGAGACACACACACCAAAACAGAGCGTTCTGAGAGAGCTGGTTTATACAGGGTCACAAACCTCCTCTGGTGCTTGATTCATGTTATATTTTGACAAAGCACAGCTCAGATGTTTCATTTAGACCACAGGGGACTGTTTGAAAAGGTGGAAAAGGGGTTTTAATATGTCATCTTGAAACAACCAACTTGGTGTCGTCTCAGGGTCATCATCACAGTAAGGAGTTCATCGTGAGCCAGACTCCCCTGAGCAGCACGGTGGCGGATTTCTGGAGGATGATCTGGGAGCACAACACACACACTGTCGTCCGCCTGCCAGACGCACACTGCCAGGTATGACACAGACTCTTCATCTCTCTAATCCTTGTTGAAGAACTCCTCATGTACTCACACTCTGACGTGTTTTCCTGTTTATTTCAGAATGCGGAGGCGGACGCTTGTGTTTACTGGCCCAGAAAAGACCAGCCAATGAGCTTCGAGGGTTTCATTGTGTCACACAGGGGGGAGGAGCTTGTGAGCCTGTCCAATGACGAAAGACTTATGGTGCAGGACTTTAGAGTGGAGTCTACACAGGTAAAACACACGAGATATGTAGTTTTACATTTATCTATTCAAACAGATAAAGACACTTGTGTCATCTTGCCCTTGTTTTTCTCTTCCTGTATCTAGAGCGAGTATGTGTTGGAGGTGCGACAATACAGCGCCCCCTGCTGGCCGAACCCAGACAGTCCAATCAGGAACAGTTTTGATCTGGTCAACACCGTCAAAGAGCACAGCAGACATTCAGACAGACCCTCAGTTGTTCATGATCCGTGAGTCCAAGAACAGACAGGACCACTCGTTGTGTTGACTTAGTTTTTTCTTCTTTGTGAGGCTCAATTTGTGTGTGTGGTTGTGTTCGTAGCTTGGGAGGTGCTATATCGGGGCTGTTCTGTGCCCTCACCACCCTGTCCAGTCAGCTTGAGGAGGACGGAGCTGTGGATGTCTACCAGGTGGCGCGGATGACCAACCTGATGAGGCCCGGGGTTTTTAACGATGTCGTAAGTACTGAAACACAGTGAAACCTTGTGAAGCTCCCATTTCTCTGCCAGCTCTTTAAGATCTATGAAATGACACAAAGAAGAAAATCGACAGCTTATTCATAAAACACGGTTATGGCTCTGCGTCCACCTAGCGTTTTTTTCTCAGCGCCAGCGTCTTTTTTTAGTTGTCAAGCGGGCGCCTGGATGAAAAGCAGGTTTTTTACAAGCAATCTGCGGCTTTTGTGTGGCCGCCACGAGCGCTGAAGTTGAAAAACGTTCAACTTTTCAGAAAGGCGCTGTTGACGTCACGGGCGCTCTTTTCAAAATGTTTGATATTCCCTGTATTTAAGTCTCCTGCGGATCGTATCTTATACTCCCTTCCTCTTTGCTCGGTGTCTACTGGGGTAAGAAACCATCTCAAATAAAAAGCATGCTGTAAAAACTAACGGAGCATTGTTGGCCATACAGCGTCCGTTGTCAACAAACTGTTGTCATAGAAACAGGATGGACATGCAGCGCTTCTCTTCTCAGCGCTCAAACGCTTCATGCAAACACTCCTGAGCCCACAGCCAGCGCTTTTCTGCCCGGAAAATACTCTAGGTGGACACGGGTCTAAGTCTTGAGGTTTTGTTTTTGTCCCTACAGGAGCAGTACCAGTACCTGTACCGAGCCGTGCTGAGTCTGGTGAGCAGCCAGGAGGACCAGCGAGCCCTGCAGAATCCAGAGACCAACGGATCCGTTCCTCTGGGACAGACAAACATCGCTGAGAGCCTGGAGTCCCTCATGTAGACACACAAACATGTTCCAGCTGGTTTCTTACCAGCACACACACACAAACGCACACACACACACACACACACACACACACACACACACACACACACACACACACACACACACACACACACACACACACACACACACACACACACACACACAGACACACAAACGCACACACACACACAACACACAACGCACACACACACACACACACAAACGCACACACACACGCGCACACACACACACACACACACACACACACAAACAAACACGCACACACCGATGCACGCACACACACACACACACACACACACACACACACACACACACACACACACACACACACACACACACACACACACACACACCAGTGATGGCTTGCTTCTGAGATGACAGGTGATATGTCGCCATGTTGTGTGAGCTCTCTTTGACTCATTAGTTAGTCATTTTTGGAAAAGGGCTGCAGACGATAAGGACCAAAATCCATTTAAAGAGCCTCATTTTCAAAACATTTTAATGAATGCTTATTTCAGTAAATTTAATAAATACACGGTTCTACTAGACTCTGTCCACTTTGATGGCAGGAGAAACAACTTCATGATAAGAAAGAGGTACCAAAACAGCTTCACTGCCTTTCCATTAACAGCCAACACACTTTCAAACTGCATGTGTGTGTGTGTGTGTGTGTGTGTGTGTGTGTGTGTGTGTGTGTGTTAATGTTTGTGTGTGTGGTGAGCATCGAGCCTAAAGCAGCAGAGCATGAACTGGGAAACAACAGAAAAAAAAAAGCGGGCTTTAATTGAAATATAAAGAAAATGACACAAAATAAAATCATCTGTATAATTTGTAGAAATTCTGATCTAATCTGAGAACATTGTTTTTTATAAAAGTTTTTTTCTTAATAATGGAAGCAGTCAGCTGTTGCTGTGATTTCTATGGAAGTCCTACGAGGACATGCATACTTACATTTTGTTTCACTCCGTTCTCCTGTGATATCAACACATTTCGGTTGTTTTCTTCAAGATCTCGACTTCTTTATCTTATCTCAGGATTACAACGCTGTTTTTTTCCTGTAAAGAAAAGTTCATATCAGTCGTTCTTTCAGTAGATCTTGAGAAATCAAGTCGCCATCCTGGAAAAGTCAGCATTGATATCCCAAGATTACGACCTGAATATGTCGAGATCACAAGAAAACAAACAGAAATGACTCAGATGAAAACAGTCTCATTAAAAGTATGGATCGTTTTCTGCTCATGGCGTCCAGAAAGTGCAATCAAAAACCTTGTATTTTATTGTCTTTCACTTATTTTTCTTTTTCAGATATTTTTTTGGCATTTTAGACTTTATTTTATCCAATAGGACATGTAAAGAGAGAGACAGGAAATGTTGTGAGGAGAGAGCAGGGGGTGGCATGCAGCAAAGGGCCGAGGTCGGATTTGAACCCACAGCCGCTGCGACGAGGACGACAGTCTCTGTACATGGGACACATGTGACAAAACCACTTGGCCAGCAGGCGCCCCATATTTCCAGACTTTTTTTAGATTTATTAAAACAAAAAGATGCATTTGGCGACAGTAAAACATTAAAGTAAATAAAATTAAAGATCAGATTAGAAGTCAAACAAAAGAAATGAAGGAAATGACTTTCTCCTAAACTCATGTTTTTTCATAAAGACAGAATTATAGACTCAAACCCACATTCCCTTATATACAGTTTTGCATATATATATATATATATGTATATTATAAATCTGTTGATGCCTCACATGCTTTTGAATTTCTCTCTTCATGTGTCTGCTGCAGGCTCAGTGCTCTCTGGTTACCCCGTGCCTTCTGTAGTTCATGTTCTAGTACTGACAACATGTTTTGATACTACTGTACGACTGTGTCGAACTAATATGCCAAAACAATGATCTGTGACTGTTTTCTATTTTCTTAACATCTCGTCGCGCTCGTTACCTTCAAATATAAAAGTCAAAGAGGGGGAAATTCAGTCTGACTCCAATGATTTGTAAAAAAAGAAAAAAAAAGAAGCAATTTGAGAGTTAAAGTGATATTACACAAAAACAAACAATATTTTTAGAGTATTAAACATCAGAGTCACTTACAGCCTTACACGTGACTGGAAAAAGGGGCACAATCATTTTTGTCGTTGAACAAGAAAATGATATTCATTGACAGCAGTTTTTCACAACGTGCAGATGTACACGTACAGTGTGATGTCACAATGTTGCAAATTTAAAGATAAAGAATCAAATCAGTGGAAAGAGAAACATCTGAACTTTTTTTTATTTGTGGGATTTTTTTTCCTCTGAAGCCGTGAGCCGTGTGTTTTGGATCCCCACACGTCCTCTGCTCTGGTGTCACTTTTGCTTTGACTGTTTGAATACTTTCTTTGCGTCACACACGATCAAAACAAACCTCTGAATCCCTTTCCAAAACAACCTCGCCCGCTTCTGTCTGTGCCGCTTTGCCTCCACTCTGTAGCATTTTTGCATCCGTTGCTCTTCTGGGGATGCAAAACGGCACAAATCAAAGAGGCTGCTGCGACTTGACCGGACTGTGATGGATCCAGATCTAACTGTAACATGTATCAACTTCTTCTTTTCTTTTGTGTGTAAATAGCCCTGAATACATGAAAAGGCCAAATTACTGTATGTTTATACTGTACTTCTATATATTTTCTATTTTACTATAAAAAGTGATTTTCTAGTCATTGACACATATATAACTGTGCGGATTCTATTTGATAATTTTAGCCTGGATATATTGATCATGTTTATAGTTATAATCTCTTTTTATCTTCATGACAGTAGCAGCTAAATGTCTCTACCTTTTATCTCCAGCCGTGTATATAGCGACAGGTCAAACAAACTGTGTATATGATTAAAAACACGTTCTTTTTCTGAGAGGAGAAAACAATTAAAAAGTACTTGTTATGACCTAAACCTACCTCTAACGTGTCTTTCTTCATGTCTTAAACATACACAGACTCTGTGTGGACAGATTTTGTATCATGCTTTTATTGAAAGTGTAACACATGATATTGCATTGTCTCCCATGATGCACCTGTACATGACATTATAGCAAAGACAAACAGAAGTTAACAATCAATGCACGACCACAACAGGTTAACAAAGCTGAAGTCAAACCCCCCCCCCCAAAAAAAAAATCTATTTCTATATAACTACTTTAATTATTGCCATTTCACCATACTGCAGCAGTCGCACAAGATAAAGTGTATATAGTGCATTTATAATAAACCTCGTTATGCAGTGACAATAGGAGTGCCCACCCTGGATGGATGTCCGTTTTCATTTCACTTCATCTCACAATTAATTTCACTGAATGGAGCTACTTTATCTAAGGCACTTAAACCCTGACGCAGATCAACATCCAGCCTTCACAAACAGTGAGGCTTTTACTTTATCATCTGGGATCCACATCCCTGTCACATCAATTCAATGTATTACCAGGCACTCAGCACTTAACATAAAACCAGATTACAGGCAGAGACATGGGTACAAGTCTTTTATAATAACATGACTGTTGACTTTTTTTGAACTGTCTATATTGTTTAAACTAATTGTTGATGGCTGGATAAGAAATACATCCTCACATTATTAATATGAATGAATTAGCAGCTCTTAGCCGGTAGATATTTTGCCTAAAGGTCACACACTATCCTCCTTTTCAAGCAGTTTAAATAAGTCTCAGAGCTCCCCAAAAACAGACTTTCTTTGTTGACATTGAGTAAATCTTAAAGCCTGCTACACAAATATTCTTTACTTAGATAAAACACAACCTAACAACTAATATGGCACACTGACAAAAAAAAGAAACAAATAATATCAATGTATATATATATATATATACATATATATATATAAATAATAAAGAGTACGGTGTGGACCTGCTCTGTTTGTCTTGTCTATACGAATAAAGATGATTGAATTCTTGTTTTTAGAGTAAATTATTTTCTGCTGACATGTCATTCTGCTCTGTGTGATATAACGGCATTTTCATTAAAATACTGTATCATGTGACTTTATATAACTTGTGACATTAAATATGAATTACCATAACGTCTGATACAAAGGCTGTGAAATCAGTAAAGGTCACGAGGGACAATACTCTTACTTGAATCTGCATTTTAATTACTGTCATGAAAGAGTAAACTCAACCAGTGTGTTTTTGTTTTTTGAGCAACTAAAGGGACTCTTTACGATTTTTTTCAAAATAAAAACCTTCTAAAGAAGGAGTAATGGGGTTTTCTCCGCTGATCTGCTGGACATTTGTTTGAGGCTTACTATGCGACTTTCAGAGCAGATTTGCAAAATAAAACTAATGCTCTGTTTCATGAGTAAGTGTCTGTGAGACGGAGAGATCAACATCTAGGGGGAAAAAAAATCAATGCGATCAATTTCAAGTTTCTTCTGTTGTTGGATTTTCTAGACCAGTGGTTCCCAAAGTGAGGGTTGGGACCCCCTGAGGGATCGCAAGACACTGTTAATGCGGTCGCTAGATTTCTTCTGAAAACATGTAAAAATGGAAAATGGTTTAAAATTGCATATTATTGTGAAAAAAAAAAAGAAGTAGTTTCTTATAATGAATTAAAAAAATAGTATGAGGGTGTTTGGGCTATTGTGTGGTGTTCTAATGTCAGTGTTTGGATAGTGTTTTAGCCTAATCACTTGCGTGGCAGTGTGCAACGTTAAATGTTTTAACCACCTCCAGGGACGATGGGTGTCACAGCGCCCCCCAGTGGGCCGTCTCTCTTCCACCATCTGGTGGCAGAACTAACGGTTGGGGAGGGAGAGGTTAACGTGAAAAAAACATGAAACTTGTTTGAGCCTCTGAGCCTCTTAACAAGCTGAAAGAAGCTCCGCCCCTTCATTGTGAACACAGAGCTCAGAACAACAAACCCAGAAGGAGTTAAACGTCACACTTTTTAGAAAGCCGTTACTCCACAATATTTTTACTTATCGTGTATACTATACTTTTACATTTTCATGTTCAGAAAGTCGTATACTGAGCCTTTAAGTTATTAAAGTCACATTTTTATAAGAAGTAAATAAAACATTTGTTTAAAATCAAAACATTACATGAAAGCAAAGTTAAATATTCTAGTTTTGTGCAATACACTGTGCAAATGCAAGCCAAATACCGGCAAAACTATGTTGTAAATATATCTTTATATAATATATAATTTGGAGAAAATAGCTACATTATCTACTTTGAACTAAAATGCTGCAGCACCACAACTTCCACCGGTTTCAAGCATATGGTGAGAAACTGAAAACTATCAGAATCTCTTCTTTTTTTTTTTTTAAATGTCACATATTGTAAAATCACTCGAGGAGATCAATCCCGTCATGGATGAAATGCAATTTGTTTGGTTCAAAATGTCTGTTCCTGGAAGGAGACACAAGTGTGCACTGTGGCCTTAATGTCCTGCTAAAGAAGAAGTTAGGAGATCAAGGCACGTCTGATGTTTACATAATGAGAAGACTGACGCATAGATTTAGGTTACAGGATGCTCCTTTGTGTGTTTGTCTATGTGCACTCCTACAGGCCCTCTTCTTCTCTGCTGCCTTAGTTTCCCTGACAACCCTGTAGGACACGGATTAGGAATTAGACAGCAGCAAAAAACACTTAAGTAAAGTGTGTGTGTGTGTGTGTGTGTGTGTGTGTGTGTGTGCTCACAGAGGTGGTACGTTTGCGTTTCCAGCAGTCTGGGTTGAGTCTCTTCTGTTCGTCTGCGAGGGCTTTGGCCTGCACGGTGAACACGCGGCGCTCCTCACTTCGCATCTTCTTCCACTGCTCCCCGAGCAGGACGCTGATCGCTCTGAAACACAAACGCCCTCGTCCTTTAACATCACTGTTAACACAGAAACACACACACACAACATGTAGACAACACCCACCTGTTGTCTTTCCCGGGGTACATCTGTGTGTACTCCACCCTGAACTTCTTGGCAAACAGCATGAAGGCGTTCATTGGCCGCTTGCACTTAGCGGGCGTGGCACTTCCTGCTTTGTTGTCTTGCTGGCTTTTGGTTGGCTTTTGACGAGGAGAGTGGGAGGGACTGGGACTGTGTGCGTCTGTTTAAAAAGATCCAAAATTCAAAGGGTTACTTTAAAGTGATGCATCTACAACCCTGCTTGTGTATGATGTGTTTATGAATACTAACACCTGTTCTTAATGCTTCTGTCATAAACTGAATATAAAAGGAAGCTGTAGCCACTACAACATCATCTAGTGCTTTGTGGACCTACAGTTTGAATTTCCTGCTCCAGCTATACTTTTATTTCAACTTTTTTCAGAACTTTTCAATCACATGCACATACTGCAAAGTTTATCAAACTTAACAACCATTTAACCCTTAATCTGTCCATCATTTAAACATTTAGATTTTGCTGTCATCATGAATCCAGACCATCATTTCATCAAGGAAATGTTCACTGAATCATTTTCACCTAAGACTCCAACACAGTCACACATCTTTGTGCAACCAGTGGAGTCGCCCCCTGCTGGCCGTCAGAAAAATAATGCTGGTTAAAGGAACTTTTTGCTTTTTGCGCAATACTCTCGAATCTGCCTACTGTACTAGAAGTACGTAATGATGACCAAAATGCAATATGCAGTATGTAGTACTGATCTCACATTTGTTCACATACTGCATTTTGGCCAAATCAGTACGTACTGAAAAGTCAGCTGTTTATCTGAACTTGTGGGAGACTTGAAGTGCAGCACCTTGTGATGTGTCTCTCTCTGGAGAAACGGCTCCCCCGCTGGACTGAGAGGTACGCCGCCTTCTGGCCATACTGCTCAACACATAAACCGCCGAGGAGTCCAGAGGAGTGAAATCATAACTGAAGAAAACACAAGATAAAGAAAGGTACTGTTTTATACCAATTTCATACATTTTTATCAAATAATTGTACTTCTTCTGGAGCAGCATGTTTCTATTTTACCTCTTAAATGTGTCAAAGACCAGCGAGTTGTCGATTTGTTTGGCATCTCTGTGTCCTGGAGGAAGGCACACGCCTCCTATTTCCATTTCATAGCACGGTATCCCATGACGCACCACGGTCAAGCTTGGGTAAAATGACGACCACCCTGATAGAAAGTAACCTGAGTGTTAAAAAAAAAGCTGATACGAAAAAAACTGTTTTGGTGTTTTTCTCATCATCACTCATACCTTTGTTTTTGACGTAGAACGGGTGGTCGAGCTGGCAGCGGGTGGTCACAGGGGCCTGTCCGAATGCACCGGGGTCAAAGGTCAGCTGCAGGACGGCCTGACCTGACACCACCATCTCTGAGTTCTCCACCAGCTGGAGACCTTCAGAACCATAACTCTGCAAAGAAACAAACAGGTTTTAGTTGATTTGTATATTTTTCATTTTGTATTTAAAATGTTCTGTTCACTTCTGATTAAAACCTTTCGGCCTACTTTCAAAGTTTTTCCTCAACATAAATTATACAGATTTAAAAAAAAACTAAACTAAACTAAACTTAACTGACAAAGTGTCCGGACTCAGTGCACTAAAAACCACAATGTGCTCCAGATGGAGACCAAACATAAGTACACGGTGAACTCAGGAGTCTGACAGTCTAAGTGCCGCCTTAAGCTTCTTGCATAATGCACCTTCAGAGATCTGGACTGCTCCTCATCACCAGAGTCCTCTACCTCGGCAGAGTCCATGTCCTCGACGTCCTGCCACTCCACATTAGAGCCGCTGTGGAAACGCAGCTGAGTGCCTGAAGAAAGAGAATAGCTGCTGTGTGATCAAAAATTATATAAAACTTCACTTTTTACTCTTATTCCTTGTAGATTAAAAAAAAAAAAAGTGGTGACCCAGTTTGAGGTGGCAGCAAAAAGAAAGCGATGACATCATCTCTCTGCACCTACCTTTGAGGAAGCAGTGCCAGGCTGTGGGGGGCCAGGAGAAGCTCCAGCCCATGTCTTCTTCGTCTGACAGGGAGGATTTGGTTGACACTGCAGAACCACATTCACTGCTCTTCTGTTAAAAAATGAAGTGGCAGCTGTGTCAGGTACATGTGGGATTAACAGGAAACAAACAGCTGCTGCAGAGTCGACTGTAAGCACCAAACAAACAAGCGCAGCACAGCTCAGTGTTGACCTGCAGAGACAGCTATACGACACAGAGCTGGAGTCATTTCAGAAAGGAGATTTACATAAAAGACTCAGAGCTTTGCATGTACATAATGATAACGCAGAGTTTGGAAAACTTGAGCTGTACCCTTCTGCGTCGACGCTCCCTGCCGTCACCTCTGGGGGGCGGCGATGTGCTGCTGGGAGGAGAGGGGGGAGGTCGGGCGTAGGAATGTAGATTAGTGCTGGAGAGGTAGACTGACGAGGATCTGAAAGAGACACAGGCTCATGAGAGGCAACACAAGACTTTAAAGGAGCAATATGTAAGTATGACACCCAGTGTTTAAAATGGGTACTGCAGTCCAGATTTAAAACATTGGAGAGAGTTTAGAGGAGTTTAGCCAGCTCTGCATCGGTCGGTAAACCTTTCTGTGTTCTAACCTCTCTCCATTTTTCAAAAGCATCTCCAATATTGATCCTAGTTTGAGCACAATTCTATTAGAAAAGTGTGAAGTCTGTTAAGGTCAGGAGGAATCTGTTTTAGAGGAGAGAGGCAAAAGGTCAGTGTAGGGTGCCTTAAAAACGCCTCAAGATGAAAATAAAGAAAAACATTTTTTTTTTAAAAAGGGACCAGGACAGCGCTTTTGGAAAAAATTTGAATGCCTGACACTATGAAAAAAAGGACCAATGGGCGTGTTTTTCTTTTTTCAAAATGTCTGATTGTCTGGTTTGCTTTTGAAGGTGACATAAAGACATATTTTACTTCAGTCTGTTTCATAACCAGCTGGAAACTTCTGACAGGAGATTTAAAGGTTGGTGTTGTTGCTTTGTCATTTTGAAGTTCCGAATTTGAATGTTATTTGATTGATGAGTTATTTTGTATTCAATCAGTTTTGTGACATGGTAGGGCGCCGGTGGCCTAGTGGCTAGCTCCGTGTACACAGAGGTTGACATTCCCCTTTCTCTCTCTCTCTCTCTCTCTCTAGCCTCATTTTCCGACTCTATCCACTGTCCTTCTGTCCAATAAGATCCAATAAAATACATCTTAAAAAAACAGGGTTTCTGAGACACATTTGAACAGTATTTATACTACGCTACATTGGTTTGTTCAGATTCTTTTTCATTCATAATATCTGTTTCAGTGCATGATGTCGGGAGGAATGTAAAGCCTACCAACCTGCTGTGAAGAGACGTCTGTAGCAGCGGGCTCTGGGGTCCAGTGGCGATGTGAGCCAGCTGTGTCAGCCAGTGAGTGTCCGGCAGCTGGCCGTGTGCACTTTGATCCAGGTGAGACACGCCCACGACCACCTGGTAGACAGGTGGGGCTGTTTGCTCCGCCTCCTCCTGCACCTCCCGCAGGTCAGGGAGGTCGTCTAGGAGGAGAAAACAGAAACATGTAGTGTTGACGTTATCGTCTGCTGTGTTTAAATCTGAAGCATGCTGGTGTCTCATGTACCGTATTCCATGTAGCTGTCGCTGGTGGGGAATCGTGGCGAGGAGGAGAGGCTCTCCTCGCAGCAGAGCAGTTCATGTGATTGGTCTCCGTCTGCATCCATCATCACCTCTGGAGGTAAGAGCAGACAAACAGGCGGTATTAAGCATTCAGACATACACAAATCCTTTGTAGTGTGGTTACCATGGTGACTAAGGTTAGATCCTGATTAAGAAAAAAGCCTTTACGGATTAACAGCTCCAAAGTTGATGTCATTATCCGAAATTAGGATTACTGAAGTGAATTACAAGCAACTTCTCAAATTCTTACACGCAATCTTCTGACTTCAGAACAGCTGCAAAGCTTTCACCATCAACCAGGAAGTCTGAAAAACCTGTCTGATCTTTATGCTAGCTGTAGTGTTGCTTTTTTCTCCAATCATCAACAGAGAGCATGCTCAAAACTCAGAGCAACTCCGGATCAACACCCCGATCTCATCACTCTGGAAGTGAAATGCCTGTTACAGAATTCCCTCTTTTTTTCTGGTAGTATTTAGTAGATTTCTAAGAGGAAAAACTACAGTTACAACATTTTTGTTTAGCAAAGCATGAAGCATTGTGGGTTAAGTATTTAGTATCGTCTGACCTTGGATGCGATAGAAGGAAGTGAAATAAGAATAACTTTCCTCTGGTTGGCATGACGGGGAAAAACACGTCTTACATTGTTGTGGAGTGAACCTTAAAGCTTAAGACGGGAAGTTTCTTTAATTTGGTGCCTGACTCAAGTGTGTGCAGCATTTTTCAGTTCATTCATGGAGTAACAAAGTATTGAGCAGATACCAGATGTTTGACAGGTTTTAACAGATGTTTGACTGACAGATGTTTGACTGACAGATGTTTGACTGACAGATGTTTGACAGGTTGCAACCAAGCAGCAACCTCCAGTCTTTAAAAATGAAGCCAACGCGGAAGTGCCAAATCCTGCAGTTCGTCGAGTGTCCACTAGAGGCTGGCTCCAGGAACACCTGAAGTCACATACACATTACCGGCAAAAAAAAAGCTGTTTTTACAGCATTTTTTAAAGCAGGAGACCCCTCAAATTGTTTTAAAATCTGACAGGTTTTTTCTCATAACATAAAAATAACGCTGATTTTTATATATAGGCTAATATTTCATCATTTTAAATAATATTCCAAGTATGGACGAGATGGAACAACATCGAATCAATCCGTCTTTGCTTGTTTGACTTGTTTCCAGTTATTAAAATCTAATCAACAAGAGTTTGACCATTCCTTTGCTTTATGCTTTTCATTGTTTGTTAATAGTACTTTTCTTTCTGACTGTCAAATAATTTCTATGATCACTTCTCTTTATTAAAGTATAACGAACATTTCAGCAACAAGGCGATTCAAAGTGCTCCACGCGCGACATCTAAAGCATCACGACAAAGGGAAGGAGAACACAGGAGAAGAGGACGTTTCAAAATCATTCAAACAAAACGAAGAGTTGTAAAAAAAATGTGAGAAACATGTAGCTACAGTGCAGAGTTAGCATATCGATAAAGAAAAGTATTCAAATAAATAGTTTAATGAAAGGCTGTACACAGAGTCTTCAAGCTCGATCTAAAAGTACTAAAACTTCCAGCGCTACATGTTGTGAATAAAAAAAATTAAATCAATTTAAAAAAAAAACATTTTTACAAATATGAAAAAAGAAAAAACTGAGATAAACTCGATCAAATTTAAGGAGTGTATTTTCTATCAGTGGAATGTTTTTCTAATTTGTTTTTACGAATTGACTTTATGAATGGGAGCTGTGACTAAGGCCAAGCAAGGACCTTTTGTATCATCTTTTCAAAGCCTTTGTGTCGGTCTGACAGAACTGCCTTGACAAGACGTCTCTATCACACCTTAATTATCAACGTTTTCAACTTCAGCCATCGGAATTCTCCAGAATCTTTCATGTGTGAAGTGAAGTTCTTACACATCTCCTCAACGACGAATCAGTGCATTGTCAGTCATTTCACAGGTCATACTGTATGCAGGTCATATTACCTGTGTGTTCACCCTGAGGCTCTGAGTCCACCTCCACACTCGGATGTTTGGGGGTCACCACCTCCCAGACCATCACGTCCACAGTCACTGAAACATGAGAGTACTCACTTTTTCACCATGAGTCCAGCAAGTCATTTTAAACTAAGCATCTGGAACTATTCACAGAAAGGTAATCCTTCACTGAGCTGTAATGTAAAGGCTATAAATGGATGTAGGGGGACATACTGTAAGGAGACACAGGGTGATACAGGGTTAACACTGCTGTGACAGGACGTACTAGTTTATATTAAAGTCTTTTAATGGAGCTGTGTGGATATAATTGCATACATAAAGTTGAATTATTCGTGTAAACATGATAAGAACATGTTCAGTCTTATCTATTTCACAATACTTGCGTCATGTGACTCCTCTTGTTTATAAACTTTGGCATCGTGCACGCATGCGCAGAAAAAAGCCCATTCATTCAATGCTGAGAAGAGCAGCGATAATACATATTAAACAAAACACTTCAGAATCAGTAACCACACAGAAAGTTGCCGTACAGCATCGACTCACTATGGTGTCGTTATTCAAAGATGTCGATGACAACTACGTTGAGCTTCAGAAAACTTCAAACGAGGAAGCGTTTACTTTGCTCAGATAGTGGAGTTACTTCGACGGAAACGAAACAGACTTATCCTCTGTGTTTTCACAAACAAACACACAGACGACAACAATGAGATTCGGGGTGTAAAAGTGGGACTAAATGTGATTTAAAAAATGGACGAGGCAATATGTTGCGCAAAGACTGAAACAAACAACGAGCGACAACAATGAAGCCGTCCGCGGAGAGCACAGAAACTGTCTCTACAACAAAGAAATACACGATGTCAGCTCCACTTTTTACACCGAGTGACAAGTCCAGGCGGAAATCATTCAAATAGTCCAATCAGTTCTTAAATCCGACGATTTTAAAGCCTCGAATGATTTCAATGAACTTTCATTTAACTCACCAAAACAGTTGCCTTGTACGGGAATGAGGGGGCTGGTATAAACACTTCCTGTCGAGCGATCCTATTGGCCGGACCCGATGTCCATCAAGAGCTCCTGTCCTTCTCATTGGTCAGCTCAGTGCAGACGGGTTCTCTTCGGTTTCTTTACCACAACAATAAACATTGGGTGGGTTAGTTACAGCATTTAGAAAACAGATGACGGGGGAGGAAGTATGAAAAGGTATGTTGATAATATAAGCAGCCGACCAATAGCCGTCAGCATTATTGTCATACATCCAGGGAAACTAGTACAACATGTAGTTTCAGGTGAAAACTGTGAATCTAAAACTTTAAAGAAAACATTTCCATCTCCTGCTTTCCAGACACTTTAATACCACAAGTATAAAACCATTAATATCCCTGAAAACCCCCTTTTGACATACTGTAAAGATAGATGCTCCAGGCTGAAGACTGATAGAAACATCCTCTCATTAAACCAGATGTTGAGCTGCATCTTCACACAAGTTAATAGAGCATACTGTGTGTATAACCCCACTGTTACAGCAAGTCAGAAAACAAGTCAGATATGAATGAGCAGTGTGAATATTATGTCTAAAAGGGGATGAAAAGGTGCCAACAATTGACAACGTGTTTTTATACTTGAAGCAATCGTAGCAGCAACAATTCCTTACAACAGAATATTTAAATGTGTAAAATCAATTAAGTTTTAAATTAATTGTTAGAAACAATAAAATGCTCCAGTCAAACCTTAATATTTACAGTCTGTGGCTCAAACATAGATTTTTCAAGAAGTAATTATTCTTGATTATTGGTGTTCACTGCCCTCTAGCGGCCACATTGAAAGTTGCATCACAATTTGAACATGTCAAGTTTAACAAGATAGCAACGTCATATCCGGTACATGTCTGTGAAATGAAGCAATCACATTTTATTTATAAAACAAATTTCAGGAAACATTCAGGTATAGTTCATAGTAATTAAAAATCGAGTTCTAGAAAGAAGTATAATCTTATATAATCTGCCTTCTCTTTCATATGACATGAACTAACTAAGCACATCATTTAAATTGAACAATAGAGAAGATGATAAAAAAAAGCAAAGCAGTAACATTTTAAATTTAGACACTAAGTATTATAATCTAAGAGTAAAACATTAAAATGTTGCTTTAATGAATAACAATAATGTCAAAACGATTAACAAAAAAAAAAACGACTTAAATGATAAATTGCACAAAAAAATGAAGTTAAAAAATATATTAATATATGTAGATGCTCCAACCACTAAGGATAGAATGATGAGAGCTGTTTATCAGATGCCAGAAGCTTTTTTGTTGTTGTGTGTGTTTGAGTGTGTGGGAGTGGCCAATTTTAACGAGAATATTTATCGATAATGGTCTTATATTTGTAGTATAGACCCTCGTCACTCTGCCTTTTGCTCTTTAAGTCTTTAAGTTAACTTTTAAATTCTTTATATCGACACTCAGAATATTATATCACCATGAACTGAACGTGGTAAACACACTACAGAACAGATTTACATGCTTTATTTTGAAGAGAAAAACCGGAAGTACAGTTCTTATCGTGGCTAGTTAAAGTTAGCCGGCTAGCTTGACATCCTTCCTGAGTAGCGCCGCGCGTTTCCTTAATTCAGACAGACTTCAAACTTCCAACAACTTTTCTGCTCTGCTTTTTGGTCCCTCCTTGTAGCATAAATGCCGAAACTTTCGCCTAAGAGCCCGGGTATCGTTGCCGTCCGCGTTCATTGGTGAGTCATACAAACATGAATTGTCTTGTTTTATGAAATTGAAACGCCTCCTCATGTAAATATTACGGCCGCTGTACCGTTATGTTTCCCGCGGACTAACCCAGTTTCTCTCCGGCTGCTCTTAAAAAGTGTATTTCTCTCCTCTCAGGCTCGTCACAGCCCGGTGTTATTTCTGAGGTAATAGTGTAGTTGACAGAGTTGAAAATAGCAGACTGTCGCTGTGTGCGCTTTTAGCTCCATCCATGCTGAGTCGAGTTTTGCTTCCTGCTTTGTAAACTTCCTCTGCTGATGTGCAAGAAGCAGAAGGGAAACTCCATTAAATCCTCTGACTTCAGATATTCATGTAGTCAGTTTGTTTTGAACACTGCTCTCTGGAGATTCCTTAATTTAATTTGATTTTATTTACAAGGCAGGAGTCCCAACAGGCTTTAAAGACACAAAAAGAGATTTAAAGTTCAATCAAAATAATTAAAATGATCAAAGAAAGGCATCAGGAATCATTCAAATGACATAGAGAGATATAACTCACAAACATGTAGTTGCAGTGCAGTAATGAGTTGTATGTAATGAGTTTTAAATGTCTTTTTTTTATCCTAATATTTGTTATTTGTGTTATATTTTTAAATCTTTTTTTATACTAGCTTGCACCAGAGAGAAACGTTTTTTTTTTTTTTTTTTCGATTTTTCTGTATGTCCAGCACATGTTTGAGAAATGGACAATAAAGATGACTTTGACTTTGATGTAAGACAAAGGGAATAAAAAGTGCAGCAGAAACAAACAAAAAAAACCAATAAATCAATGAAGACAGCAGGATGTACCAAAGTAGCTGAGAGTCGTAAATCACATTACCCATACCTTCATCTGTAATGATATAAAGTTAACATTTCTTACAGTAGAAATTTTAAATTTCCTGAGAATACTAAAAACTGTGATAAGATTTGAAGGTCCTCACTGTTAACTTTCAATGAGAATCAGATTTATAGTCCAGGTTGATGTGAACGTACAAGGACTCTGACTCTGGTTGACTGTGTTGTCTTTGTGCAACAGTAAACACATTAACATTACATTTTAAATCTCAATCCAATGTGTACCGGCCTCAGACAACAGTGAAGTGGTGAGTGGTTGTTGGCCTGTAGTAGCCGACTCATTCCTGCTAATAGTCAGTTATAAAATTCACCACCGAACAAACAAACTGTTACAGCATCATTGTGGATTTCTGTGTCACAGTAAAACTCTTTGAAACCTGATTAAGTCAATTCATTACTTTGATTCATTTCAGGCAAAAATGTCAATAATTCTCTGCTTTAATTGATTTAGAATCACTGTGGAGTTCATTCAGATATTTGCCGCCTTGATTTGTCACTTGTTGCCACCCTTCAAGCTAGGCGATGGACGGGGACCAGATCCAGGTGAGCGACGAAGAGCCCAAAGTCGTGCGTGAAGAGACCCGGAGGAGGAGGAGAAAGAAGGCCATCAGCTCGTCGTCCTGCTGCTCCATGGATCAGATCTCTGTGGAGTTTGTCCTGCCGAGCGTGGTGCGCGGCGGCAGCAGCCATGACACTCTGCTGCTGGAGGTGGCCGGAAACTGGACGGTGGAACAGGTGTGCTGAAGTGACTCGGACTGATTTTGTTTGTGGGTCAGATAAAATGCTGTTCCGTGTGATTAGCTGAACTTGTCGTTTGTTTTTTTTTCCCAGGTGAAAGCTCAGGTGTGGATGAAGGCGGTGACTTTAAACCTCTGTCCCGACTTCTACCAGCGCCTTTCCCCCGACCACTGCATCCTGCTCTACCAGAAGAAAGGCAACCTGTGTGAGATCTACGACAAACACCAGGTGTTCCAGACGCTGGACTGCATCCGCTACTGGAGAGGTGCCAACCAGTGACCAAACGTGGATTCAGAAAACTGCTTTTGAATCATTCTCTTGTACATACTAAACATCCTTATTCTATTTAAAAGCGCTGAAGAAAGACGTGGGCCGGATTCAGCTGGTCCCCCGCCCGCAGCCCTCGGATGAGTCGCTGCAGTACCAGCGTTACCTGAACAACCTGATCGGCTACGACGTGACCGACGTCAGCAACGTGCACGACGACGAGCTGGAGTTCACCCGCAGGAAGCTGCTGACGCCCCGACGCATCGAGCTGTCTGATCGAGACCCCAAACTCTACTCCATGGACCCCTGGGTGACCCTCAAGCCGCTGCCTGAACACCTGCTCAGCAAGGTGAGTTTGTCTGCGCATGACTTACCTCTGATATGAAAAACATTTAGTTGTTGCTTTTGGATTTGTGTGTAATTCAATTTTCCCAGATAGAAACTCAACCTATTTTTTTTTTTGTCTTTGCAAGAATTGTACCTGTTGCTGAATCTTTCAAATTGTTGAAAACAAGGCGCAGGGAAATCTCACACATACTCTCTTCCTGCCTCCCTTCATGTAACGCCTCAGTTTGTTCTGTAGGAAAGCTGTGAAGGATGCTTGTCTGTTGATGTACGGCTTCCACTGAACCTGTGCAAAAATGACTCTTGCAGAGATTGTCTTATTAACAAAACACACCCAAAGGGTTAAATGCACCGCTAATTGTGCTGCAGAGCAAACTGCAGAGCTGCAGATCAAACAGAGTTTCGCACAGAGCAAACAGAGTTTCGCACAGAGCAAACTCTGTGCGCCTGAGCTGGTTTTGCGTATTCACATGAGCAGTTTTAGGGAAAAACTGTCCCCTTTCTATTCAAACAATCATCATTATTTTAAAAAGAGTCAAATTCACAAACAACGGTGCTAACAGCCACGCCCAGTTAGAGGGGAGCAAAACAAATTCTGTTGAGAGTTGGTGGTAACTGCGCCGCAGTATTTATATGAGATGTCACATGCAAACTTTCCAGTGATCAGGACAATAATTCTGCCTCTATAAAATAGGATTCAATGATCTGTTTATAAAGTCTGTATGACTTTGACTTTCCTGTTATTAATGTCACCAGGGGTTAGACCACACTTCACCCACATGTTGTTGTTTCAGGTTTATCCTTCTCTTTTTTGTCTTTGAGTTGCCCTAGATTGTTCCCTTCAGAGAGGAAGTCTTGTTTTGAAAAGTGAAACTCATTTTACATTCTTCAAGTCTTGCATAAAAAAAACAAAAACAACCTAAAACGTTTCCTCTTCACTCGGAGCTCGTCGTCTTTAAAACCGCCCAGTCAGTATTAAAGCTCTGTGCAGGGTTAAGGTGCAGACGGCTTTTCTCCACATTCAGACTCAAAACAAGAGCAGACAGCACAGAGCAGGACGATCTCTTGTTTGAGTCTGAATAACTCAAGTGAATCAAGCCCAAAGCTTGTGAATCTGATCGGAATCTGTTCTTCTTTGAAGGAGATTTAAAATATCAACCTGCAGTTTAAATCCTCAGTATCACCCTCACATGACAGAAAATAAAGACTTCCACAGGTTTTTGCTTACATTTTTAAGCATTCTGGTTTTGATTCCAGATTCACAAGTCTCAGACTCATTCAGTCATCCCTTCCAGGAAATAATATTTGAATGAAATACATTGCTGTCAGTGTAATGATTCCAATACAGGGCTGATTTATTTCCTCCATATCCTAACTGTTTCTTATTAACGTCTTTGTTAACGTCTTAGAACAGTCGATTGATCAACACAAGAGTAAAACTAAGAGAAACTTCTGTCTGCAAATTCCCTGTTGAACCATGAAAGATGTGACTTATTACTCATACATGTACTCACGTGTCTCTGATTTGTTCTGTTGTTTACCTGCTGGGATGTTTCCTCATTGACCTCGTTTTAATTGTTTCCCTGTTCAGATCAGTAACAGCCACATCCTGGTGGTGATCCACATCAGCACGGTCAGCCAGACCATCAAGGTCTCCATCGACGACACTCCTGAACAGGTAGAGCGATGACCTTTGATTGTTGGGGGGGGGGGGTAGTCCTCCAAGCGGGCCGCCCAGGTTCAAGTCTGAGCGGTGGCTCCTTTCCTGCATGTCATGCTATCTTCTCAGTTGGTTTGAACTTCTGACAGTTTTCTACCTTTCCAGGTTTTGACCAGCTTTTTCACCAAGATAGCAAACAAGAGAGTTCTGCTGGGTATCCCTGACAACACGTGTGAGTCCGACTTTGTGCTGCGTGTGTGTGGAAGGTACAGTATGCAGGACGATAGAGCGCTGTGTAAACACACTAAAGATACTTCAGTTCAGTTTGTATTGAAAGAGAGTTGATTTAAAAGTAACCTCTTCAGTGTTTGTTCACACAGGGAGGAGTATCTGTACGGGGATAAACCGCTGCTCAACTTCAACTGGATCCGTCAGTGTCTGAAGAACGGAGAGGAGATCCACCTGGTTCTGGAGAAGCCCCCTGATCCAGACCTGGATCTGGTCCAGAAGGACGACTGGGCTCAGGTGGATGACTGCACCGGAGTGGCAGGTAAATGAAGAGAAGTATCTTCTTGCATGTTTGACTGAAGTGGTTCCTGCTAACACAATCACACTTCTTCTCCTCCTGACTCTCTTCAGGGACCCACGAGCAGCTGACGATCGATGAGAAGGACCACGAGCGAGTGTTCACCATCTCTATGTGGGACTGCAACAGGAAGTTCAGAGTGAAGGTGCTGGGAATCGACATCCCATCTCTGCCCAAGATCCCAGATTTCATCGTCTTTATCGAGGCCAGCATCTTCCACGGTCAGCAGCTTCTAGCTCAGGTAATAAAATGACTCGACGAGGAGACTAGTTTGGTGACGTCCGCCCTTGTACTAATGCCATGTAAACAAAAGGACAGCGTCGCACAATGACGTCAAAGAGAGGACAAACCAGTCTACACATAAACATCTTAAACTGACTTTCTGAACATCTTCACCCGACACATCTTACTCTCACAGGAGAGGACGTCCTCTAAAACCTTCAATGAAGAGGTGCTGTGGAACTGCTGGCTGGAGTTTAACATTAAAATCAGGGACCTGCCTAAAGGAGCACGCCTCAACCTCCAGGTGAACATTTAACAACGATGAGGTATAACTTCTTCCACTTATCGAAGAGAATGATCTCATTTGTTTTTTGGGCTCTCAGGTGGTCTGTGGGAAGCAGCCTCAGACGCCAAACTCCAAGGCAGGCTCAGGCTACCAGGATAACACCTCAGGAACAGGCAGCCACGAGGGTAAGGTCGACGGTTTAGATGCAACACAATGAGGCGTTTCAAATATAGAAAGTGAACGTCGCCCTTTGGTTTGTTAAATACAATTTTGAGCCTCAAGATCTGCGTATTTACCATTTACAATTGTTTGTTTGTGTGGAATAAATTTTGACCGTATGAGGATGACACTGATGTGTCTCGATCCTGGATGACAAGTTACCATGACGATAAGATGTCAAATCGTATCCATGCCCTAAAATATACTCTTTTTTATGGTTAATTTTAATCTAAATGGGACATTAATTCATAAAAGAACACCATGCTAGACCATAAACTACTACCTAATAACATGGACGGAGCAACAAATGCCTGGGGGGGATTCCTCCTCTATTCAGATAATCCGAATAGAGGAGGAAAGAGAAAACGTAATGAAAAGTAACATCCCTCTGTCTCAGGTAAGACAAAGACTCGTCTCCTCTACTACGTCAACCTCCTCCTCATCGACCACCGCTCGCTCCTCCGCCAGGGCGAGTTCATCCTCCACATGTGGAGGATGCCCGAGAAGAGCGAGGAGAGCAGCAGCAGCATCAACGCAGACAAGCTCACCTCGGCCACCAACCCGGACAAGGCCTCCAGCATGGCCATCGCCATCTTACTGGACAAGTACTGCTACCCCGTGGTGCTGCCCAAGAGCCGGGACACGGGCCGGGATGCGGGGGCGAGGAAACGGAGGGAGGGGAGCGGGGTCAGAGGGAGATGCCGAACCACCTGAAGAAACAGTTTGGGGCCATCGTGGCTACCGACCCCCTGCACCCGCTCAGCCCTGAGGACAAAGAGCTGCTGTGGCACTTCAGACACGAGTGTATGCGCGACCCCAGGTGCTTCATTTGTGTTTTCATCTGGAAAATTAACCACTAAGATTTTACTGCTGGGTATTTAATTTCCTTTTTTTTTTTTAAATGTCTTCAGAGCCTACCCAAAACTCCTGGGATCTGTCAGGTGGGGGAAACAGGAGGACGTCTTGGCAACGCATCGCCTGCTGGAGCGCAGCAGTGCGTGGGACAGCAGGTAAAAAAATGTTTTCAAACTGAAACCTTACATAGTTTCAGTGCCCCCCCCCCCCCTCCCTCACCTGTCTTCACATCTCTCCTGTTCAGTGGTCTGGATGTGGGTCTGGCCATGCAGCTGCTGGACTGTCACTACTCAGACGCTCAGGTTCGCTCCATGGCCGTCAGGAAGCTGGAGACTCTGGAAGATGATGACGTGCTCAGATACCTTCTGCAGCTTGTACAGGTGAGTCTTCTTCACATTCGTTCTCTTATCTTTTTTTTTTTTTTTAGTTAAATAGAACATAGCTAAGTCAAACACCACTTCAGTTAAATTTCCAGTCCTCTTTATTTACATCTCTAGTTCCTATTATATCACACCTTGGTGATTCAGAGTTTCGGGCACATTTGTCTCACAGAACAAAAAGTCAGAGCTGGACTCCCTTCCAGTAACTCTCCCGTCCCGGTTGATTCACAGTTACACTATTTCACAGCATCCTGGAGAGGAGCAGCTCAGTGGACACACAGTACTGCATGTTTGCCTGAAGTGTTTCCACAGTCGACTCTGTGGTGAGCTTTGCATGAACATGATGAGATATCAGCTGGGGCCAACAAAAGGTTCTTTGGTCTGATAGGGAAATGATTCACACCCGTACAGCACACTGGTGTCTCTGTCCTATAAACGTGATATCTGGAAGTTTACTTCCAAAAGTGTAATTCAAGATACGTGTAGTTTGATATATGTTGTGTAGAAAGAGTGTTTTATATGATGAATTACATTCTCTCCTTAAGTACCAGTGAACTCCTTTTCTGCCCGGAAAGTGTTTGTAAATGTAAATATTGATGTGTTAGTTTAGGAGAGTGATTTGATGTTTTCACAGCACTGCGTTTAGCCTCAGACTGTGACCTCTGAACTCCAGCTCTGTTAAAGGAACCCTATGAAGTTATGTTTCTAATGTTGTGTGTCCCTGTGGCCTGCACACACATTTCATGCACGTGGCTGTAGTTATTAAATATTCACTATGCCTGGTTATGTTGTCTCTAAATGGAATATGTCCATGCTCACATCAATTTGATGTGTACATGCGCTGCTTTACAACAACTGTACTTAAACACAAAACAAGGCATCATATCAAGCAGAATGAAAAAGAACTAGAATCTTTAAAGTACCACATTTTAACCATATTTTTAAAGCAGTCAGGTCGATGTCAGAATGCACAGTCGTATATGCATTTAAGAGGGGTTCACATGAATCTGAATGTGTGCTTGGGTTTGTATGAGTTTCTTTGATCACATTGTCTGGTCTCTGTTGTTTTGTCCTGTAGGCGGTCAAGTTTGAGCCTTACCATGACAGCGCCCTGGTCAGGTTCCTGCTGAAGAGGGCTCTGAGGGTGAGCAGAAACGACACTCTGTGTCTGTTTCCTGTTCTGTCATACAATGTTTGCATTAGTGCTGTAGTCGAGTCATCAAATCTCGATGTCCAAGTCAAGTCCGAGTCACCAAAGAAAAATTATAGAATGATTCAAGTCCTTGAGGTTGAGAATGAGTTCAAAGATGAGCTTCAGTTCTCCGCTGCAGCACATCCATTGTGTTTATTTGATGACGTTCAATGTTTCTAGGCTGAGATTTGACGCTCTGTTATCTGTGAGTCTTCATGTTTATACTGTCCCTCAGTCTGACAGGGGGAAAGCCAAACTTATTAAAAACATAAACACAGTCTTTATCAGTAAATAAAGTCTAGTGCAGTCAGTGCTTGAGTGTGAGTTCAAGTCTGAGTCATCAGAGATTTTCACATGTTCATTAAAGTCAGTCTTTCTTTCTTTTTTTCGTTGGCTCAGTCTTTTGTTTTTTCTCTCCACAGAGTAAGCGCATCGGCCATTTTCTCTTTTGGTTCCTGCGCAGTGAGATCGCTCAGTCCATGCATTACCAGCAGAGGTATGCTGTCCTGCTGGAGGCCTACCTCAGAGGCTGCGGTGAAGACATGCTGCAGGACTTCAGGAAACAGGTCTGCATGAAGGATTCAGCTCTGTTCAGTTCCTTAAATAAAACTGTGTGTGTGCATGGAAGGAATAGTAGAGTAAAATACCAAAGTAATGGCTTTGATTGGCCTTGACTGTAATCATTGTTACATCAAATATTTGAATTTCCACTATTGGAAGAGATTTAAGGGCAGAAGATCAGACTTCTGCAGTCGGTGCTCCTCCACTTCTCAGTGACTCAAAGTGATGTTTGCAGGTGGAGATGACTGAAGCTCTGCAGAAAGTCACCAGAGAGATGAAGGCAACATCTGCTGACAAGTATGACATTACTGCACAAGGTGAGAAAGACAAAGAAAACATTCAGGCCTTCGTGCAGAATTTCAAGTGGATGCCATATTGACATATTTATACCTCTTGATTGGTGTTTAGTTGTGTTGATTTGTTTTATGCACAATCAGTTAATTTGCAAGTTTCTAATGAAAAATAGTCACCTAGGGGCTTATTTTAACTCCTGCTGCTGACAGACAATACCGTCTTTGTTTCTAACATGCTTTAGGCCTCGCTTAAGACCTTTTTAAAAACAAATGCTATCTGGTGGAGTCAGCACTGTGTGAAATGTTTTCATCTCTCATGGTTGAAACATTGTTCAAATAGAAATCAGACAAGTCATGAGCGTAAAGCTGTGCTCCTCTTTGTCAGTGGTGTTTCAGCTGCGTCAGAAACTGGAGACTCTGCAGCTGTCGGGTCTACCGGAGAGTTTCAGGGTCCCCTATGATCCTGGACTCCGAGCTGGAGTCCTGCTGGTGAGTGACAATCCATACACATCTGTACCTGTGTGTCTGCAGGTAGAAAAAACAACAACAAACATCAAACAAGGGTTTTCTTTTTCAGAGTGAGATGGATATAAAAGAAAACTGGATGTGTAAATACTTTTTTCTTTTGTTCTGTTGTTTTTTCTGTTTCAGATCGAGCAATGTAAAGTGATGGCGTCTAAGAAGAAGCCCCTGTGGCTGCAGTTTAAAAGGGCCGACCCCACCACTCTGTCCAAAGACCCCATAGGCATCATCTTCAAAGATGGAGATGACCTCAGACAGGACATGCTCATCCTGCAGGTGAGTACCCAGACCCTCTGACAGACAGAGTTACATCATGTTTGGAGAGGGATCCTTTGCACAGAGTCTCCTCCCATGTCCCTTCAGATTCTGCTGATCATGGAGTCGATCTGGGAGACTGAATCTCTGGATCTCTGTCTGCTGCCGTACGGCTGCATCTCCACTGGAAACAGGATAGGTAAACTGTTCACAGATTAGTTGGCTATACAAGTCGGCCTGTGATGTTGATCTCTGTTGCTGTTCACCACAGGTATGATTGAGATCGTGAAGGATGCCACCACCATCGCTAACATCCAGCAGAGTGTTGTGGGAAGCACCGGAGCTTTTAAAGATGAGATCCTCAATCAGTGGCTGAGGGATAAGTGTGTCGGCGAGGACAAGGTACACACACATCACTGATTCAAATGAGTTCATACATACAGGATAACATGCCAATACGTATGATACAGAGACACCAGAAACAAAAACACATCCATCCATCTTTTCCAAAACTTATTTGAACTTCGAACCATGAGCTTTCTTAAGTTGTTATGTTAATGATTTAAAAAACCTTTGTCCTTAGTCTTTAAATGAGACATTTGATGTTGATCTATACATTTAGTTTATAGAGTTTCTCCCACTGCCATTCAGTCTATCAAGACATTAGAGGAAGAAGCAATTTAAAGGACAGGAAGGAAGTGACACTTAGGGGTTTTCCTGTTCTCACAACACACACACACACACACACACACACACGCACACACACACACACACAAAATCTACTTTTAGCTCAGATACCTGCAGCCCTCCTTTTTTATATCTTCTTGCTTCCTTTTAGAATTTGTGTTGCAGCAGTGTAGGCCAAATCTGACACCTAGCACTGAGCTGTGCACTTCGCACCACAACTGTCATTGCTGGTTTCAGATGTGTGCAGATGTCGTTGTCATGCTCAGCGATGACCTCGTGTAAGACGCGAATGAACTTGCAGCCATGGGAGTTACAGTTTAAAAGTAATGTTTGGTCAGACGGTACTGGCACCTTGAGGCAGAAAAGTGACCAACACCATCCTGATCTAAAGTCAATGTTGCAGTATCTCCCTGCTATTTTTAGGTTGCATTATACAGAAAATATATGTCGACCATCTCGATGTCGTTGATGGTGCAGGTTCACCTGGGTTCTCAAGGGGAAAGGGAGAGACACTGATTAGTTTACATCAAGTTCTACCAGATACACACCTGCAGTTTAATGAATAAGGAGACTACAGATAATCCTTAAGTACCTTGTGCCTTTGTTTCCCCTCACACTATGTGACATTTAACTGGAAAAAATGGAGTTGGAAACACCCTACATGGATCTAAACAGCAGTCTAATATTGCTCTCCTCTTAATGTATGAGCTTTCTTGAAACAAGAAGGAATTCATTGAAAGCCTTGCTCCTTGACAAATTCATCCAACTTCTACAGTAAAATCATTTTCCTCTTAAAGAACAAAATGTGAGATATCTACTGAATTAAATGATAAAGTGAGCTTACTATATGATCAGACATTATGGAAACATGTTGTGTTGAAGTGCTGGCTTCTCTGACAACAAGCTGGCGACATAGAGATGTGGTAAATCTAGGATAAAGATTGGAGATGCTTTTGAAGAACAGGGCGATGCAGAGCTGATCTATTACTGAAGCTTCAGTATCCATGACTTAGGGAGACTAGGAAGGAGGGGGCGGAGGGAGACAGCTCTCTCCAATGTTTTGAATGAGGACTGCACTACCAATTTCAACCACTAGGTGTCAAGGTTACATATTGCTCCTTTAAGATAAATTCTAGGTTTACTTCTAGTTCAAGCTATATACAGGATAAAATTATTCCAGAGCAAAAATTCAGCTAGAAATGTGTTTTCTAGTTAAGTGCAACAAACTGTCATTAAACTTGTTTTTCTGTGTGTAGTTCCAGCAGGCTGTGGAGAGGTTTCTCTACTCCTGCGGTGGCTACTGTGTGGCTACCTACGTACTGGGAATTGGGGATCGACACAATGACAACATCATGATCACTGAGTCTGGTAAAGTTTAATGTCTAATGTCTGTATTTTCATCTTAAGATCACACAAACACAGAAACATTAACTTAATGTAAAAGAGAACGGCTTCGATTAAGTGTTCCTGTTCTGTTCCCTACTTTGAGATTTTTGTCGCTCTTATTGATCGGCATCCCTCGCATCCTTTGTGTTTCTGCAGGGAACCTCTTCCACATCGACTTCGGTCACATCCTGGGGAATTACAAGAGTTTCATGGGAATCAGTAAGGAGTGGGTTCCCTTCGTGCTCACGCCAGACTTCCTGTATGTCATGGGAACGTCGGGGAAGAAAAGCAGCCCCCACTTCCAGAAGTTCCAGGTGCACAATATGGGATTTCTTCCTGTGGATATTATGAAGGCAGAGGGGGGCGTCAGTTCATCCTCATTCACACACAAATATACATCAATGAGTTTAGTCACATTGAAGTGAAAGTTCATCAGTATGAAGGATACCTGCAGAACTCAGCTCAGGACCAGTTAGATTAAGGAAACCGCAATCAGCTGACATAGCGACTGTTGCCAAGATGTTATCAATATTGTTTCAGGCAGATGTGTTGGCATTATTTGTTTTTTAGCTGCACGTGTTTTACATATATTTGTTTGTGTTATACGTCCTGTGTCTTTGTTTTAGGACGTGTGTGTAAAAGCTTACCTCGCTCTTCGGCATCACACCAACCTGCTCATCATCCTCTTCTCCATGATGCTGATGACCGGTAACACTTCCTTTCTCAAAAAAAAAAAAAAATCTGTCATTTTGGAAAAAGCATTTTTCTCTTAATTTAGCGTGGACATCTGACTTCACACGGTGACATTTGATGAATCCTCACGTGTCTTAAATGTGAGATTCTTCTTATTTTTTTTTATTTTTTTTTTTATCAACCATCAGGCATGCCTCAGCTGACCAGTAAGGAGGACATTGAGTACATCCGGGAGGCGCTCACCGTTGGACGCAGCGAGGACGAGGCACAGCGCCATCTGCTGGACCAGATCGAGATCTGCAGGGAAAAGGGCTGGATGGTTCAGATTAACTGGTTTGTTCACTTGGTGCTGGGGATCAAGCAGGGTGTGGAGAAAAGATCCACTTAAGGAATCCGTCACAGTTAGCCATGATGAAGTGTTGAACCTCATCCCTTGGTTTTCTTAAATTGAGGAAGTTCTGCTTTTAAATGTAAATTAGAGCTGTCCAGGAAGGTTCAAACAGAAAGTCCCGGCAAACATGCAAATACTGAGGCTGTGTCTGAAACCACATACTACACACTGCCTACTACATACTGAAAATATATTTACTGCATACTAACCTGACCGTTAGCATAATGTTTGCAACGTACAACACACAACTTACTAGACTAGACAATGCGAAAGTGCAAAATCCTGCAGTTCGACGAGTGTCCACTAGAGGCCGGCTCCAGGAACACAGGAAGTCACATACACACAATCTTTACAGCATAAATAAACATGTTTACAGCCTGGTACAAAAAAAGAATTGTCATCACTGGCACACACTGTATGGGGGCTTTTTTATTTATTTTTATTTTTTTAAACTACCCCGTTTTGATTTTATGATTTTAAGTCTGCGGTTTCAGACGCAGTTTGTTATTTTGAGCAACCAGCTGGGAGAGAAGCTGGAACACCAGTTTTCTAAGAGCGACTGAAAAGTAATAAGAGCATGTTAATGATGAGGAACTTAAGCTGCAACACGGGAGTGACTGTTAGAGACGCTGCTCACACCAAGTCAAACTTTCACTGCATTTCTGGATAATGTGCTGAAGAAAACGTGTTTACAGGTGCACATGTTCTCTATCATCTTTAAGAAGTCAGCATTTATTTTTAAGACACAGTTTTAATATATTTTTTTGTAATTGTCTTTTTATTGAAACAAAGTTGAATCATACATACATGAACATTCGGCCTCTTCATACATTAATACGCCTGTTCCCTTCTTTTTTTTTTACATGGAAGAAAAATACAAGTAAAATAATTCTCTTAACCCTGAATGTAAATATACTGTACCTGATTACTGAGGTAGATTACAGATCGCTGCACACATTAGTATACATTATGTGTGAGCATATTCACAAGTGAGCGTACAGTCCTCTCTTCTTTTTCTTCATATCTCCACCCTCAGCCTCTCAGCAGGGTCACTACTGCCCTGTTGCTCCCGGATGGATATGGCAATGTTTTGATCTCTTTGCACGCTGAGGAAACACACTTCTCACAGACTTCCTTCTCATTGTTTGGATTTTAATACTTTGCTTTGTGTCTAGGGATGTAACGATTCACTCAACTCTCGATACGATTCACAATTTATTTTATAAAATGAGACTGTAGACAAAAGATGACTGAAAAAGATTCCTTAAAGGGGCTGAAGACCCACTTCTCAGTGTGGTTTGGCCTTTTAATATTATAATATATGGTTTTATTCTCTCATCAAGGGGAGGTGATTGGAGCCTCTCATTGTGGTGTGGATTAAATGCTGCATCATGTTGGTTCTATTTGTGTAGTTCTCTGTCTTGTAATATTTGCAGTTTTTGTCTCGTCTGTTATCTTCTCACATCTTTTATTTTCTGTCTTAGGGAAGCCAAAACGCTTCCACACCTCCGATTTAAAAGAAGGTGGTGCGTCTTCAATTTCTAAATTTTGCTCTGCAGCTGCTGACGCTCACCATATTATTGTGATTCATTTTTCAGAGTATCAATTGATGTGAACTTTGACACCTTTGAATCGAATTTATCACGATTTTGATAAATGATGAATCTTTACATCCCTACTTCTTTCACACTGTTGTTTTTTTTAACTCATACTGAAGTTGAAATGCACTGAAGATGAGAATCTCCTGCTGTTTTAACACATTTGGTCTTACTGTATGATGTATAAGAAGTTTTTGAATTAGTTGAATTCTCCTGACCAGAGAGGGAAGATGAAGTGATCAACATGAGAGTTTTATTCAGTTTTTTTATTGGCTAGCCTTTTTGCCCCCTAATCACTGTTTACACCTCTTTAAAAAGGAGCACATTTGTGTCCATATGTTATTCTACGGTGGCTTGTTGGGGACATTCAAGCAACTGCTGGTCAGTTGCGTCTTGTAGGATAGTCCTACTCAAATATATTTTGTAAATGCCAACTCATTTGGTGAAACAAATCTTTACCCTGAGATGAAAAGAACATTAATCACAAGTCTCTGGATGAAGACTTTGTTAGAAAAAAAAAAAAAAAAATTATGGAATCAGATTTTTACGTTACATTAAAGTTACATTTCAGTCAAAACTCAAAGCCACAATAAGCACAAACTGATCAGTATTTACTGTAAAAAAAAAAAAAAAGCTTCTATACAAAATATGTCTGAATGATTTAAATGTTCTTTTGTAATAAAATGTATTGCTACTGTAAAACTTTTCCATTGTTTATTCTTCAGATTAATAAACTTGAACATGTGAGCTTTCTATGTCATATCAGATAATGAATTTTATATGAGGAATATTATGATATGCGTTGTTTCCTTATTGCTGCATCAGATGTGGAATTTAATTTTAAAGGTAACATATTGTGCAAAAAATACTTTACCATTGTTGTTTTTCACTAATATGTGTTCCTAGTCTGTCTACCCCCCCCCCCCTGAAATAGAGGGGTTTATAGACATGATCAAATACAGGATCAGAGTGGATTTAGAACAAGAAACTCACAGACATGTTATGGGGAGCTCTGAGACTTATTTAAACTGGTTGAAGAGGAGAATATGTGACCTTTTAAATATCAGCTGTGATAATTGATTTTAGCCACAAGGTGGGGCAACATCCAAAGCCTTTCTACTCCAGAGTCACAAAACTTGAAACATATCAGGCATTCATCTAAACTTCCCTCTCCTGTTGTACTACTCGGTGCATCACTTCACCCTCCTCTTCGCCCCCCCCCCACAGTATTTCCACAGAGGAGTGGGTGTGAGTGAACAGCAGGAAGACTACGTCTCTTTCATGTCTCAGTGTTTTGTGTCAGTGAACTGCTGTGTTTGTTTTTGATGTTCTGGATCTAGAGGTCTAAATGGATTAGATAGATAAACCTCTTCATTTCCACACAGCTCTGAGGCTTTTTTTTTTTTTTTTTTTTTTACTCTGCTGAACGTTAGCTTTTTAGCTTGCCTATAAGCAGCCTTTGTATGCAGGCTTTTTCAGGAAATGATGGGCGTGAATAGAGCAAAATTATGAATGGATTACAAAACCTTGCCTCCCTTTATTTCCTGTTTTTCTTCAGAATTCTTACAGTGGTTGAAGTACTTGGTTATTTCTTTTTTATGTATCATACCCCTGAGTGACAACTGAGCTGGAGAAACACGTACGATATCTTCAAGGAATCAATCTGAAAAACTGAAGAGAGGCAGCTTTATTTTTAGTCCACAGTCCTTTATTAAATAATCATAAATGCAAAGGTTGTCAATAAAATCACCCTTTTGTGTTTCCTTAAACAATGTGAAAGAAACTTTGGAAGAGCACCCCCTGCTGGACTTTAAGGGGTTTGGCCTAAGAGAACATGAATGTTTGAGAGAAACACTTGATATTCAAAACATAAAATATATTTCCAAAATTTGTTCTTAAAAAACTATTTATTTAAGGAGCAATATGAAACTCTGACACCTAGTGTTTAAAATGGGTACTGCAGAAATTAAGAAAATTCAACACAGGTCCCAGTCGAAGCACTTGTGGGAATCTTTCTAACGTCTCTCCATTTTTTAAAAACATCTCAAATATTTAGGCTAGTGTGAGCACGTTTCTGCACACGGAGCTTATTAGAAAAATGTAAAGGCTTTTTAAGTTGGGTAGTATCAGCAGTTTGCCCTCTTTCATCGCTACAACACCTGTTTGACCTGATAACTGCTCTCATATCTGGCAAACCGAGGGGCGTCCAAAACGGCCGTGTGGGGGTGCCTTAAAACCGCCTACCTTCTCTGGTCCAAACAAATCCAGACTGGAATGAAAACTTCAAAGGAGGACATACTGGCTGCTGCATTGTCATCAGAGAAGCCAGCACCTCAACATAGCATGTTTCCTTGATGTCTGATCATATAGTAAAGATCAGTAGAGTTTTTATAGATTGGATCTTTAACTGTAGAAACTTTTCCCTCGAAAAAGCTAATCTAAGTTGCCCCTAGTTGTGAGAGTGGCTGGTTGTGTGTCTCTTTATGTCAGCGGGTGTAACACCGTCTCCTGTCCAATGACAGCTGGCTCCAGCCCCCCTGCGACTCCAAATGTGAAAAGTGGTAAATATAATGGATGGATGATTGATTGAGAAATGTGCAGAAAACATAGAAAGTGAAGCATTGCACCTTCAAGAAACAGTTAAGAGAAGTTGTAAAACAATAAAGCACACTTTAAAAAACTGAAGAAAAACAGCTTTACACTAAAAACGTATCACTGTACCTTTAAACTGTACTGGAAACTAAGACCTAATGGGCATGCCATGCAGCATCCTTTTGGATTTTCACGTTTACATTTTGTGTATGATGTGGTTTATGATATTACATAATACAATCTGAATGTCTTCCCCCAGGATTTTTATTTTTGTCAGCATGGAGAAGCTTCTTACAAAAACATTTGGACTGTCATATGATTGGTTCAACAAACTGGTGTGTGTGTATGTTTTTGAAGCTGCGTGCCTCGCCTGCTCACAAACAAATAGCACAAAAAAGACAAATCTTTGTGGAATCAATGATTATTCACAGGTAACTTTAATTTTAAGACCAACTTTTTATTCTGACAATCAAAGCAAACAAATCAAGCAGCTGCAAAGGTTTACAAAAAACATTAAGACCTTTGAAGCAGAAATGTGTTTGCAGGACGTTCTCTGGCGTTTGAATTAGTGACTTAACTACTTTCTCTCTTCTGACCATGCACTGCTTATTGAATTGAGTAACGTCGTCGGCTCTGACAGGTGTGTGAGGTTGCCGTGGGAGTCAACTGGAAGTAGCTGGAGTAAACTGGAGCATTGAGAATCGATACACTCTTTTCTCCATTAACTCCGGTTTCTCTCCAGGAAGACATGAACCAGATCAGACGACGGGGGAAATCACTTTGCCTCTGTGTGTGTGTGTGTGTGTGTGTGTGTGTGTGTGTGTGTGTGTGTGTGTGTGTGTGTGTGTGTTCATATGTGCTGAATCTGTGTGTTCCCGCTCTGCTGTCAATCACAGTATGAGGACATTTAGCCTGTCCTCACTTCTCCAAAGGCTTTTAGGTTCAGACTCATGTCGAGGTTAATTAAAGTAAATTAGTTCTCACACTATCATTTAATGTGTCCATCTTGAGATTCAGATCTGAGGAGAGCGCATGTAGTCGACGAGGGTCCTCACAAGTAGTGAAAAACATGTGCATGAGTCAAATGTGTGCTTTCATGTGTGCACATCTCTATACAAATGTAAATGCTGGTATACATGTATATGATTATGTGGGCGTTGTGCACTTCTATTTATGGCGGCTGCCTTTAAGTGGCTTGAAGAACATAAATACAGATTTAATGCTTCCCTTTTGATGTCAGTGTGTGTGTGTGTGTGTGACCTGTGTTTCTGTTGAAGCTGCCTCCATTCATGCTTGTCGTCTTGATGTCAGTGAATCTTACATTTTCTTTATATATATCAGCAAAGGAATACAATCTGTGTATTACAATCTGTGTGTTTTACCAGATGCTACAGATGTAGCTTCCAAACCTCTGCTAGTTTGACCAGGATGATTCTGGAGTTACTTTTAGCAGGACTATCCTAAATACATGCTTCCTGTTTCCTTACAGAGCAAATGCACTGAGTAGGGTTGTTTTGAAATGATTCTCTACAAGGAGCATTATTTAATGGGGTATGCTTCCCCTGAAATATTCAACAATAGAGTACCAGAACTTTCTCCCCGTACTCTGACAGTGCATACAGAGTGAGTGGTGAGTTCATAAAAAATAAAATAAAAATGTTGGGTTTTGTTCAG